CCCCTTATCCTTACTCTTTATGGTGGTTGGACGGCCAGCTAGGGAATTCATGTTCACAGCCCTCGCATGACGAGGCCCAGGGGCCTGCTCCAGTGGTTAGAGTTAGAGTCATGTGACTCTGTCCACTGGGCCTTCTCCCCACACAGGTGCCTCCTTAGCTTTTCAGCAGTGATCATCCTCTGATGCACTTTGGAGAAGCCTTCGCTTATTTAGTCACTAACAGCTGTTCTGATCATGTTAACAGTGCTGGTCTCAAGTCCTCTCACATTCTGCCCACATGCGGCTCCAGCATCCCTAGTGCCATTCTTCAGCTTCAACTTGTCTTAGCCTTTTTAGATTCATAGCATCCTGTTCCATTTACTTATAGTTCTTTTAGGCCAACATAGTTGAGTTATTTATCTTCTAACTATTAATTCTTTACATATCCTAGAGGCAAGTCCTTTGTTAGATAAACAACACACCTATATAAAGATTTTCTTTTGGTGTCCTCTTTTTTTCTAAACTGTTTCTTTTGAGGACCAGGAAGTTTTCATTTTGATGATATCCAATTTATCAATTTTTAAGTGGATAGTACTTTATACATACTTTTTTAAAAAATATTTTATATATTTGAGAGGTAGAGTTACAGACAGTGAGAGGGAGAGACAGAGAGAAAGGTCTTCCATCCAATGGTTCACTCCCCAAATGGCCACAACAGCCAGAGCTGGGCTGATCCAAAGGCAGGAGTCAGGAGCTTCTTCCAGGTCTCCCACGTAGGTGCAGGGGCCTAAGCACTTGGGCCATCTTCTACTGCTTTCCCAGGCCACAGCAGACAGCTGGATCAGAAGAGGAGCAGCCGGGACTCGAACCAGTGCCCATATGGGATGCTAGCGCTGCAGGCAGAGGATTAATCTACTGAGCCATGGCGCTAGCCCCTATCCATATATTCTTATAAAGTATAGGTTTTTAATAGCTTTATCAAGATGTAATTTACATTCCATACAATTTATGCATTTGAAGCATACAACCCAGTGGTGTTTCAATACATTCACAGTTGTGTAACCATCATCACCATCAGTTTAGAGCATTTTCTTCCCCACTAAGAGAAACCTACCAGTTACTGTCTCTCCACCCCTTACAGTCTCCAGCCCTAGGGCCCCACCAATCTGCCTCTATCTAGATAGGAATTTCTCTATTTCTGACGTTTTGTATAAAGGGAATCATACGTGTGGCCCTTTGGGACTGGCCATGTCCGCTTCGCACAGTGTTTTTGAAGTTTACACATGTTTTAGCCTCTGTCAGCACTTCTTTTTGTTGCCAACTACTGTTGCATTTTATGGATCTACCACACCTCATTGGGGGATGTATAGGTTGCTTTTACATAGGGGCTATAGGGGCTATAATAAATAACGCTAGTATGAACGTTTGTGTACCAGTTTTTGTGTATATGTTTTCATTTTTCTGGAGTACATGGAGCACTATGCTTAACCTTTTGAGGAACTTCCAGACCATTTTCCAAAGTGGCTGCTCTGTTTCATGTTCAAGTCAGCGGGCTGTGGGGACGTCAGCTTATGCACATCCTCACCATGGCTTTTTATTGTCTGTCTTCTCACAGTAGTCATGCAAGTGCCTGTGAAGAGTTATCTCATTGTGGGCTGGCTTTGCACTTCCCTGATGGCTAATGATGTTGAACATTTTTGTGTGCTTATTGGCTATTTATATATTTCCTTTGGAGAAATATCTTTCAGGTTTTTGCTCATTTTAAAATTAGGTATAAGAAGTGGATTCTATATTGAAATACAAGGAGTGCCATATGGAGTTGGGGAACAAGTAGAAAATATGAGTGTGTAATTCAGTACAAGACATCGATCAGTATGCCACTTGCAGCAACACTTTTTTGCTGAGGTCCTTAAAATCTGTTTACATGAACAATTCTGTGCGTTGTTCATTTTGCAGGGGAAACAGCTTGTGGTTTTCATGATTTTTTAAAAAATTCAAATAATAGGGGCCAGCGCTGTGGCTCAGCGCATTAACACCCTGGCCTAAAGCACTGGCATCCCATATGGGCGCCGGTTCAAGTCCTGGCTGCTCCACTTCCGATCCAGCTCTCTGCTATGACTTGGGAAGGCAGTAGAAGATGGCCCAAGTCCTTAGGCCCCTGCACCCACGTGGGAGACCCAGAAGAAGCTCCTGGCTCCTGGCTTCAGATTGGCGTAACTCCGGCCATTGAGGCCAATTGGGAAGTGAACCATTGGATGGAAGACCTCTCTCTCTCTGTCTCCTTCTCTCTCTCTCTCTCTCTGCGTAACTCTGACTTTCAAATAAATAAATAAATCTTTAAAAAATTCAAATAATATGTTTTTCATAAATTTTACTTATTTGAAAGGCAGAGCATCAGACAGATAGGAAGAGAGGAGGATCTTCCTTCTGCTGGTTCATTCCCCCCAAAGACCCCAGCAGCCAGATCTGGGCCAGGCTAAAACCAGGAGCCAGAAACTCTATCCTGGTCTCCCACATGGGTGACAGGGGCCCTGGCACTTAAAGAGCTCAGAGTCTAGTTGCAAAGATCAGTTTTGTAAAGAGGTAGTTACATAGCAGCGTAATAAGTGTTGTGTTTGAGGGACCGTCACAGAACAAACTCTGCCTTATGGAGTCGAGGAGTACTCTGGAGTAGATCGGATGATACTCCTTCCTTGCATCAATCCACCCAGCCATCCATCTGCCCATCATTTAACAAACACTTGGTGATCGTCTATTTTGTGTAAGGACCCGTGTGAGGAGCTGGATTTATGACTGGATCTTGAAGGATGATGGAACGGTGGGAGGCTGGCACAAAGTAGAAAGGACCTGTGATGCAGGGGGATTGGCCTGTGCAAAGGCCCAGTGGCAGAGTGATAGAGTGACCAGTTCACTGAAGTCTCTGTGCTGTGGAAAGCTGTTTGGATTTTTGTCTTTTGGGGAAAATGAGAAACCCTTGTGGAACTTAAAAAAAAAAAAAAAAAGTTTTAGAGATGTTCTGGCAGTAGAATAAATTTTAAGCAGAGAGATGAATGCAGAGGCTCTTGGACTAGTTTGAACGCAAAAAGGATGGCGAACATGGGTGGAGAGAGAGGGAGCAGATTCGAGAAAGAGCCGGGAGTCGGAGTCAGCAGGACTGAAGGACCCTGGGGAGTACCAAGAGGCGCAGAGAGTGGCTCCCAAGTGTCTGGCCTGTGTCACAGGATGGGTGCATGGTGGGTCCCCAAGCCTGGGCAGAGAAGTTACAGGTTCTGGACAGGGGCGCTTACCAAAGCAAGTGCTGGCCAAAGGCCTGTGGTCTAGGGAAGCAGGAACAAGAAAAGGAGCCTTTCTCAGGGTCCGGTGCCGTGGCTCACTTGGCTAATCCTCCGCCTGCGGCGCCAGAATCCCATATGGGCACCGGGTTCTAGTCCCGGCTGCTCCTCTTCTAGTCCAGCTCTCTACTGTGGCCCGGGAGGGCAGTGGAGGATAGCCTGGGTGCTTGGGCCCTGCACCCTCATGGGAGACCAGTAGGAGGCGCCTGGCTCCTGGCTTTGGATCAGCATAGCTCAGGCCCTAGTGGCCATTTGGGGGGGTGAACCAACGGAAGGAAGACCTTTCTCTCTGTCTCTCCCTCTCACTGTCTGTAACTCTGCCTGTCAAATAAATAAATAATCTTAAAAAAATAAATAAAATAAATAGATAAAAAGAAAAGGAGCCTTTCTGGACGTCAAGGAAGATCAGTGTGGCCGCTGGCCCCGCGGGGTCTTTGGACAAAGTAGAGAAAGGTGCCTCTTCTTAGCGGACTGATTGGAGAGAGGCAACCTGCTTCAAAGTAGACTCAGCTGTGTGGCCTGGCAAGCAGCCCCAGTGGATTTCAGTCCCCGTTCACGCCCTTGGCCGGGCAATCTATGTACCGTGCACAAGTTACATGGCTATACATGGAAGCTTTGGGACTAGGCTCAGCCCCTCGAGGCTCAGCCCATTGTTCCCCCATAGAAAAGGGATGCAGGGAGGAGGCTGGAGGCTTGGTCAGGAAAGGCATCGGGCTTGGTAGTCAGGCCTCTTTCCAGTGGGTTTCGGCTCTGCTCATCGGTGAAGCCGGTGAAGGGGTTGTGAACTCTTCCTAGCAGCAGGCATCGGGAGGACTAAGGGAAATCAGGTGTGTGGCGTGGAGGTCTCCAGAGCAGCTCTGGACACTCAGTTTCCAGCAGCAGACGTGGCACAGAGTGGGTAGAACGCAGTAACCTGAAGAAGGTGCACTGGCTGTGGGCAGTGACCAGCGAGACTGTCAAGACAGTGCAGGCCCAGGGAGGAATGTGGCCGTGTTGGGAGGTGTGTGTGTGGGGTGGGGGGTAAGAGACACAGCAGAGAGGGTGCTGGTCAGAGGCGTCTGCTCTGGAATGGGGGTGTTAGAGCTTGGCCATGTCCCAGTATGGCTAAAGGGAAGCAAACTCAGAATTGAAGTTCCCGGGAGCTGCAGAGGTGCCTGAGATGAGATCTGGGGCAAGTGGTCAGCCTCGTGGCTTACGTTTCAGTTTGGGAAGAGGAAGGCAGAAGGAAGGATGTCATCCAGGGAGGGCGGTGTCATCACAGTGACGGTTCTGGGAAAGTAAGCAGTATTCTACATGGGGATGGGGAATCCCAGTGGCAAGAAAACTGCTTGCTCTTAAGACTGAGTGGAGAACTGGAGGGAACCAACTCAGCGATGTGTTCTGTGGAGCAGTCCAATTCCACACAGGACGAGGGATAGCAAAGAGGCACGCCAGGTGCCCTAGCTTGCTGGGCTGGCCCAGGGCTCTGAGGGCTTGATGGTACCATCCATTAGCTGATGATCAGAGTCCTGGCTCTGGCCTAACTGGGCCAGATAGATAGTTGAGTGTCCAAGCCTTGCTCCAGTGACTGAGGGGTATAGTAGGCTGCAAGGCAAATAACTTCTAACCACTTAGGCACCAACTAAGGGAAAAGGCATCTTGCTTGGGCATAGAGGACGCCAGGGCTTTGCAGGATGGTGGCCAAGAGAGCCAGGGAAGGCAGAGCTGGAACCCAGGACAGACAGACTTGGCAAAGACCCGGGAAGGATGGAAACTCGAGGCCAGACTCGAATCTCTCATTTCTGCGTGTCCAGCCTCCTCTGCTTCTTCTTTGACTGTACTTCCCCTCCTCTTCCTCTGTGTTCCTTCCTTGTGAGCTTAGGTGGCACTGAGATTAAGTTCCCCAGCTAGGGACTCCTCCTGCATAACACGTCCGGCTCAGCGTCCCTCCACAGCAGAGACCTTGTGGCCTTCGTTGGTTGCTGTATAACCCAAAGAACCTCTGCTGACCGTGGCCTTGGGGGCAGGGCAGGGGGCAGCCTCACCTGAGACTGCGGCTTGCCGTCTTGGCTGGTGGGACCCGAGAGTACATGAGAGTTCAGACACGGTGTATCGGAGATGTTAAGGCAGACTTCGGTCAGGGAAAACTGAGGCGAGCGGTGCATTAGGAGCCGGCCCATCTGTCTGTTCCCTACAGCATCAGGCGAGAAGGAAGGCTGGTCCTGGGAGTCCTACCTGGAGGAGCAGAAGGCCGTCACTGCCCCCGCCAGCCTCTTCCAAGACGTGAGTTGTGCAGTTTCCACCTGAGCAGCCATATCTTCCCAGTCCAGGGACTCCCACCAGACTCGCGCCTTCTGGTGTTTTCTGTCCGTCAGTCCTCAGTGAACTGGCAGAATGGAAGGAGAACTAAGTAAGAGCCCTAGGTAGAAAAGGTCCCCCAAAGGGGCTTCCAGGGAGGGAAGACCCGGGGGGTGGGACCTGGGCTCAGCCGTCACTGGGCCTGCCGGGTTCTGAACGCTGGTGCCTCCCACTCAATCCAGCGCTGACCTTTTCTTGACTTGGGCAAGAAGGAGCCTTTAGTCCAGCCCCGATTCAGCCCCCGTTTTTCGAAGGACCTGGGAGCTTCTCTACCCTCTCGATCCCTGCAGTAAAGATCCCCAAACATATTGCCCTTTTGGAAGTACCAGGCAGGTGGGGCCTAAAGGCAGCTCCTTCACCCCAAGCCCACTAGGCAAGGATAAGGCTGCGTGGAAGCTGGGTCCCCTCCATTGTGTGCATTGGCAGTCCCAGGCAGTCCCTCCTAACAAGAACGGCTTCAAACTGGGCATGAAGCTGGAAGGCATTGACCCCCAGCACCCGTCCATGTACTTCATCCTCACCGTGGCCGAGGTGAGCTGGGATCCGGACTCTCCCTTCTGATGATGTCTGTCCGTGTGGCGTGATGGAGCCCCCTGGGGGATGGAGGCAGACACGGCCCCAGCTTGTCTTGGAAAGCACAGTCTAGCAGGGGATTTGGTAGGAACGCACAAAAAGTTTCTTTAAATAACAACAACAAACAGAAGTGTCATGGGACGGTGATGCCACCAAATGCTGGGAGCTTAGAGAGCCGAGGGCTGGAGAGGTTGGCGTGAGCCAGCAAGGTCCCTGTCCTCTGGAAGCCCACAGTTGTGTAGGGAGTCAGCCAGGTGGAAGTGTCAGTGGCACGCCCCAGGGGTGCAGGGAGGGGCAGGGAAAGAGCGCTGAGTTCAGCTAGGGGGGTGGGGGAGCATGGAGGAAGGGCCTCCTTTGCTGGGTCCTGCAAGATGGGTTGCAGGTGAGGAGGGGGTTGCAGGCAGAAGCAGCAAGTGAGCTGGGGCTGCGGGCTCAAGGAATCACTGTTAGCCCAGAAGGCCAAAGCAGGGCACGTGGAGAGCAGCCCTCAGCCCTGTGGGTGTCCTAGGATCTACTTGTCTTGCACCCAGGCCTTGGGGCTGGTATGTCCATCAGTGTCCTCACTGTGGGGAGGGACAGTGCAGGGCAGAGGTCAGGATGGGGGAAACCTGGGAGTGATGGAAGGGGAGGGAGAGGGAGTGGGCCATCCGCGGACACTGTAGCCACCGTGATTCCCCTTGCGGGGCCAGGTGTGTGGCTACCGCCTGCGTCTGCACTTTGATGGGTATTCCGAGTGCCATGATTTCTGGGTCAATGCCAACTCCCCTGACATTCACCCTGCTGGCTGGTTTGAGAAGACCGGGCACAAACTGCAGCCTCCCAAAGGTAAGTCTGACTAGGTCGGTCCTGGTGAGCCAGGGGGTCCTCCCACCCCGCCCTTCTCCCCCTCCTTCCAAAGCCAGCCTCTCTTCATCGCATCCCACGACTCTGCCCCAGGGCCAAGTTCACCAGAAGCCCTGGGGCTTCTGCTAACCCAGGTCCTGTCCTGCTTCCACAAGGGGTCCCCGGGCAGGTTCTTGAGGGTCGTGGGGTCTCCAGGCCTCCCCAGTTCTGCTGCTTCCACGTGGCATGCCTTCACCGCGGCCCAGCCTCTGCACAGCGCTCTGTTCGTCCCCCCCGAGGGGCCTAGGTTACAAGGAGGAGGAGTTCAGCTGGAGCCAGTACCTGCGCAGCACCAGAGCTCAGGCTGCCCCCAAGCACCTGTTTGTGAGCCAGAGCCACGTGAGTGCCCCTAAGCAAGAGCGGACATCCCCTGCAGCCAGAGCCCCGCAGCTGGCCCGGGGAGCCGTCTGGACAGAAGAGGGCTCAGCCTCTGGTGCTCTCAGCCTGTCCTGGTCTCTGCTGCCACGGAGAAGCTCACTGTGTCCCCCAGGCCCCCAATTCCTTTCCTCCTTCCTGTCTTAGTACGTATCCTGTGCTGTCAAGAAATACCCGAGGCTGAGTAGTCCCAGCTGGGCGGCTCCACCTGCTGGGCCCCTAGAGAGGGTCTCATGGCAGATGTGGCATCAGGAGGGTGGAAGCACCATCACGCAGGGAGGGGAAACCACAGGGACTCCAGGCCAGGCTCACTCCTTTAGAGCAACTTGCTCTCAAGGGACTAACGGGGTCCTGCGAGAACTACGTGACCCTCTCCCAAGGGTGAGGCCCCCAGTGACCTCAGTAGCTCCCACTAAGCCCCATCTCCCTCTGCGTCCGCCGCCTCTCAACATCACCACACTGGGGGCCAAGCTTCCAGCACATGAACCTTTGTGGGACACCTTTTCCCAACACACACACACACACACCCCCACCCTCGGGACCCCTGGCCTGCCTCCCTCAGCCTGGCGCAGACTCCCTGCTGCTCAGGTGTCTTGCTTCGGTTTGCCTCTACCCCAGCAGCTGCCCTTTCCTTCCTGTTGCGCCACGTGGAAGCTCTCCTGTTCATTCCCGGCAGCTCGCCTCCCGGCCTCTCCTCTGTTCAGAGCATCTGTCAGCCAGCTCTATGCAGCGGTCAACACGTAATCCCAGTGACAGGTCTGGAGATACAGGGAGCCTCCATGCAAAGCCTCACCACATCACAGGTCCAGGCGCCTTGGGCCATGGACTCCACCGTAGGGACTGTTACTCCCCCACCCTACTCCAGCCCCAGAGACCGTCCTTGCAGGTTCCCAGGTGACTGGGCGCCCCACCTGCTGTTGTGACAGGGCATGCAGACATCGCAGTCACACTGTGTACATACCTTAGTCCTGCTGCTGGCTGGCACTCTGTCCTGGAAGAAAATGCAGGTCGCACAGATTGTTGTAAAGAGGAAGGGAGGGGTTGGCTTTTGAAGCTCGTGCCTGGGACCTGGCAGATGCCCACTTAACACTGGTCCCCCCTCCGCTCCCTACCACACGTCAGCACCGCCTTCCCTTCCACCTGCCGCCCCACCGCCCCAGGCCGTGCCAGACCAGGCTGTGCCAGGTCGGGGAGACCTGAACTCAGCCTGCCAGGCTCTGGGTGAACGCACAGCCTCCCGCCAATCACTTTCCTTCTGCTACAATTCCAGCCACCCCTGAGAATACCTTGGAAGCCAGACATTCCTGAGTGGCTCAGAGCTTAGGTTACGATTCTGCCCCAGAGGGACCCCCCGACCCAGCCTGTTTCTCCCTCCTTCCCCCTGCCCGTCTCCCGGGAAGGCCTCCTAGAGCACCTGCTTCTTCGTTTGCAGTGGGCTCTGGGCTAGCACTGGCCAGCCTGGCCCTGGCCGTGCAGCCCCTGTTCTTGCCCCTAGAGTCCCCCACCCCTGGGCTTCCAGGTGGGCATGAAGCTGGAGGCTGTGGACCGCATGAACCCGTCTCTCGTCTGCGTGGCCAGCGTGACCGACGTGGTGGACAGTCGCTTCCTGGTGCACTTTGACAACTGGGACGATACTTACGACTACTGGTAGTGGGAGGGCCCAGACTTGCCTGAGGGCTGAGGGGATGGCAGGGGTGATTCTGTACACATCTCAGGGACCAGCTGGCCCCGCTCAGTGCAGGCCTGGCATTCAGACCTGGTGCAGGGTGGGAGAGACTTGACTGTGGATCTGGGCTGCAGCATCAGAAACACAGCTCAGTGTTCAATGTTTCATCTCAAAATGTCCTGGCTAAGAGGAGCAAACCCCTGTGTTTCGTTCTTCCCTCGGACGGAATGGTGGCTCTGAGTTTTTAGTTAATGTGACCGTGTCTTTGTCATCAGCTGTCTGTCTCCCTGGCAGTAGCAGGTGGGATGAGGGTGGGCCCTAGGACCAGGCTGTCAGAAGACGGCAGGCGCAGGGCCTTGGAGCTTCTCTTGCGACAGTGACGTATTCTTGGGTTGCAGGTGTGATCCCAGCAGCCCCTACATCCACCCAGTGGGCTGGTGCCAGAAGCAAGGAAAACCCCTCACCCCTCCACAAGGTGACCCTGGAGCCTGAGCGAGTGCCCAGCCCGGCCCCACCTCCCCACCCCTGGCCCCTTCCCAGCGCCTCGTTAGTTGGCTGTTTATATTCTGGGGTCTCAGCCTCTTGGTCTGGGAGTCGAGAGCCCTTGGGTTTTAGGGGGATTCTGCACACCCTGGCTCTGTTCATGTTTAGGCGAGCAAGTCAGAGGAGCACCTCAAGGGAGCAGGGAGCCCAAAGCAAGGAAGTGTGTCCTTCCTCCCAGGAGCATCCCACTGGCTCTGGCACCATGCAGGTGCAAGGGAGGCTGCAGCTGGAGGACCGGGGCCACAGCTGAGGCAGCCAGGGTCCCCAGATGCCCTGGGAGTGTTGGGGCGAGGCTGTGCTTGGCTAGCACTAGGACCCGTCCGCCCCGGGAGCTGGTACAGGCAGCTGCAGCTGTGTGTGTGTGTGTGTTGGGGGTGGGGGTGGAGATTCTGCTCCAAGGACCCCTTCCTGCTCCTGCCTGGGGACAGAGCTCTCCCCCGTGCACCTGGGAGGCTACACCTTGCTCGCACCCTCTCCTCCAGATTACCCAGACCCTGACAGCTTCTGCTGGGAGAAATACCTGGAGGAAACTGGGACCTCCGCTGTGCCTGCCTGGGCCTTCAAGGTGGTGAGTCTGTGCTCCTGGGCCCCAGGGCTGAGCTCAGCCAGGCAGGGTGGGGCCTCGGCCTCCGCTTTTTGGGGAGGCCACAGTTTCCCCAGGCACAGCGCCCGTGCTCCCCGCTCAGCTGGGCTGGGCCTGAGGGCAGCTGTCCCCTCCTGCAGCGACCGCCTCACAGCTTCTTGGTCAACATGAAGCTGGAGGCCGTGGACCGCAGGAACCCAGCCCTGATTCGTGTGGCCAGCGTGGAGGATGTGGAGGACCATCGGATAAAGGTGGCCCCGGGACCCTGGCACTGGGGGAGTGGACAGGCCAGGTGGGCAGGGATTCTGTAGACTGGTTAGAGGTCAAGGGCGTGGCGTGACACAGACAAGGTCAAAGATCTTGGACCTCATTCTCACCTTATCCGTGCCTGCCTTTGTGGGCTTGGACAAGTCATTTCCCCTCTCTGAGCCTTTACCTTCTCATCTGTAAAGTGGGCCCAATCATCCTTGTCCCATCCATGGATTGACACAGGAGACGCTGATAGTTTAATGAGTGAAGCCCCTGGCAGTGTGGTGATTGTTACGGCATTGTGGCGTTGGCCCCTTGGATCTTCCACTGATCCAGAATCTTGCCTCTGATGGGCCCCAGGGGTGGTGGGGAGAGGCTGCTAGAACTGGGGGAGGTGGGGGAGGGAAGGTTAGTGGGGGCGGGGGGTCATCCCCACTGAGCTGGGATCCATGAGGAACACCTGACCTCCAAGGACCTTCCCTCCACAGCTGCACTTTGATGGCTGGAGTCACGGCTATGACTTCTGGATTGATGCTGACCACCCAGATATCCACCCTGCGGGCTGGTGCTCCAAGACAGGACATCCCCTGCAGCCTCCTCTCCGTGTGTAGCCCAAGGGCACTCTGCCCCTGTCCCTGCCACCTGCCACCCCTCTGTCCTGCAGCTTGCCCAGGGGCCTCTGACCCCCACACCCAGGTCTGACACAGGGCTGTGGTGCCCACAGCGAGCTCTGGGTTGCCTCAGGGCAGTGCCACACCAAGCAGTGCTGCTGCCTCCCCCGGTGAACTGTGGAGGTGTGGAGGGGCCGGCTCACCAGGGAGCTCGTGCCAAGGAGGTAGTTCTGCACTCAGGGTCCTCCGAGACGCAGCAGAGCTGCACGTGAGCGTGCGCGAGTCTGCTAAGGCAATGCTGGCCCTCCACACAGGCAGGGGTTGAGTGCAGCTCCTTCCACTCAGCCCTGCTCTCACCCAGAAGGTTCCGTATTTCCCTGCTGCCACTGTGTTGATAGCTGATCCTTCTTGGATGTTTGCCGCCGAGCACGGGCAGAGCATACGAAAGGTTACCCAGGTCTCGGGGCCGAAGAGCGGGACAGGAACGGAGCGTAACGTGAACCTGCCTGCTGTGCCCGGACCAGCGCTAAGTTGATCTTTCCCCTAAGGGAGAGGATCTGAGGCTGAGGGCCTGGCTTGCAGGGTCCAGCGAAGTATGTGGGAGCCGAGGCGTCCTACCCTGCCTTGGGGCACCTGTGCAGTAGCAGGCGCTTGGGGAGCTCGTTCTGGTGCTGACCTACCCCGCGGAAGCTGCCCACCCCTGCCTTCAGTCCCCTCCCCCCACTGCCCAGGACCCTCTGCTGACTTTTTCCTTCCATCTCCTCCAGGGCCCAGGGAGCCCAGTGCTGCCTCGCCTGGGGACTGTGCCCCCGTGAGCTGTAGAAGCTTGCCGCCCGCCAGGACCTCCAAATACAGCTTCCACCACCGGTGAGAGAAGGCCTCCTGCTGGCACGCGCCCGGGCGCTGCTCGGGGAGGGTCTCTGGCACATCTCCGTGCGGTGCACCAGGATTCACCTGCACGTTCTCCAACACGGCCAGGGGTGGCAGGGCCCAGTGGGGCCAAGTGCATCCTACCCACCCCAGGCCCTCTTCTGCCCCAGAAAGTGCCCCACTCCTGGCTGCGACGGCTCGGGCCACGTCACAGGCAAGTTCACAGCTCACCACTGCCTCTCGGGCTGCCCGCTGGCAGAGAGGAACCAGGGCCGGCTGAAAGCGGAGCTGTCTGACTCGGAGGCCTCGGCCCGCAAGAGGAGCCTCTCCGGCTTGTCCCCAAGGAAGAAGCCTCGCCACCACGGCCGGTGAGGAGCCCGGGGAGGCAGGACCAGGGCTCTCTGGCTGTGGGGCTCATGCCCTGCTGGGCCAGGCATGGATCGCCTGCCGCAGACTCACTCCTTCTCTCCGCAGGATCGGACGCCCTCCAAAGTATCGGAAGATTCCACAGGAGGATTTCCAGAGTGAGTCCCGTCTCCCCCTCCCAGGGTCCAGGGCAAGTTCCACGGCTGGTGGGCTGGCACGCCTGGGATGCCCTGAGCACCAGAAGCGGGCAGGGAGCTGTCTGTTCGTTAGAGATGCTCTGGGGGCATAGAGCAGTGGCAGCAGAGCTAGGGGCCTCAAATGACCTTGAGCTCCCACCTCGTGGTCCTGCTGTGCCAGGGCCTTGCTGTGAGTCTCTGGGAAAGACACACAGACCCTTTCTGGGCCACTGGCTCTCCCCACGAGACAGGATAACACCCCGGGCCTTGCTCTTGGCCGACTCCAGGCTTCCTGGGAAGGGTGCCATCGCTGTCACTTTCTAGCTGTGTGAACTTGAACAAGCCACTTAACATCTCTGAGCCACAGTTTCCCGGGTAAAACGTGCCTCTCAAGTGTCACTACCTGACATGATGGTGGTTACTGCTCCACCTGCTCTCGGGTGGACGCTGTGTGGGTGCTCTTCACATGTGGTTGCCAACTCTCGCAAGCGCCCTGTGCTGTATGTGACGTATGTGACAGGGAGGCGTGTGAGGCTCCGAGGGTAAAGTCACTGGCTCAAGATCGTTCACTGTGTAAGACACCGAGCTGGGACTGAAACTTGAGTCTGACTTCTGCCACCTGCTGCCGATACACCAGGCGGAAAAGCACCCAACTCAAACCTCGGTTCACTCCTCAATCCTTTGTATTAGTTTACACAGGTTGCTGTCACAAAACGCTATCACCTGGCTGGCTTAAGCGACAGAAATTTATTCCTCACACTCCTGGAGGCTGGGAGCGCAGGGCCAAGGTGTCAGCAGGGCGGTTTCTTTCAAGGCCCCTCTCCTTGGCTTGCAGGTGGCCACCTCCCAGCCGTGGCCCCACCTGGTCTTTTCCCTGTATGTGAGCACCCCACCACCACCATGTCTCATTGTATATCTAGATTTCCTCTTGCAAGGAGCAGCAGTCAGATCGGATTACAGCCCACCCTAATGGCCTTCATTTCACTCAGAGGCCCTTTCTCCAAACACACCAGCATTGTGAGGCGTGGAGTTAGTAGGAATTTTGCCAGGGACACGACGTGTTCTGAGGGGAGGGCCAGAGCGAGCCTGTACTGGGTGGTGAGTTTATCTCGCGTCTTCAGCTGCTGGTGCAGGGCCTGCCACCCGGCAGGGACACTGGGCATCTTGTCTCGGTGGCATGGAAGGACATCATTTTAAGGCTAGAAGAGACCTTGGACACTCACCTGGTTCATTGCAGTTTCTGGGTCGGGCCCAGGCCACTCTGGTTCTTCAGGAACTGTTCTCTGATCCAGGCAGCGTGAGTGTGCACATGACACAGTGACGGGAAAACACAGCCCTGAAGTCGGATGGCGTTTTACGGGCTGGGAGACCTTGGGCAGGAGCACCACCTGTCCGAGGGCTGGCAGTGTCAGCACCCGGCTCCTAGTGCTGCGGCTCTCTGCCCGGCGCCCTCTTGCTGCCGTTCCACCCTCTTCTCTTGGTGGAGACAGAATTCCTGCAGCCTCAGGCCTGAGCGAGGATGAAGGGGGCCAGGGCTTCTGAGGCTCTTGTGGGCGTGGGGGTGGGGGGCGGTCCCATTGGTCAGCTCCCATTGCAGGGCCAGCACATGACCACCAGAGGGCACCTGTCTACCGTGTGGTCTTCTGAGCAGTTAAGTCCTGGAGACTAAGACTGGCCCAGAGAGAGGAAGGAAGGAGGAGGCCAAGGCCTCTAGGTACTTCAAGGACAGAGCAGGGGACAGAGTCCGTGTGTCCACCTGCTGGCCTCTGGCAGAAGGCACACTGGCCACTCTGGGTTTTGTCCCCAGCGAGACATCTGCGGATAGGTCTCAGGGTGGGCTTGGACTTTGCTGGTGAGCTGCTCCACCCGGAGGCTTCCTGGCCAGCGCAGGACTTGGCTCTGCCTGCCCTGTAGTCTTGGGAGTGTCCACTGTTTGAAGAAACCAGGGCGGCCGTTTCTGACCTGGTGCCAAGTAGGTTGCAGTTAGATAAGATGGCGGAACTGCCCACGAGAGCTCCTGGCCTGTGCTCTGGAGGAGAAAGAAATGGAGGGAGGCGCCCTGCAAACACCATGCTGTCCCCCAGAGCCCACCCAGGTTGCAGGCAGGACCCTGGGCAGGGCGCGGTCGGGAGGCCCAGCCTGTGGCAGGTGGATGAGGTTGCTGTGCTGGGTCTCACAGGAGATCCTGGTGCGTCCCGGGGGCTGTGGGGCTGGCTGGCAGTGCAGAGGGAGCAGCCTTGGGTGATACTGCAGTGGGGCAGTTGGGGCCCCGGGCGGGCACTCTGGCTTGGGCCTGGGGGCAGACGGGGCCCAGGGAGGGAGAGTCACAGAGCAAAGTGGTCAGGCAGGCTCCTGATGAAGCCAGAGAGGCTAGGGCTGGTGTGCAGGTGTCGATGCAGACCAAGCTGGTGGGAGTGGCAGGAGAGAGGCACTGGGGCCTGGGACAGCGGCAGCAGCCATGCGGTGGGACAACTGCGATTCTGAATCAGAAGCATTCCAGCTCGGAGACAGCCAGCCGGGGCCCAGAAGGACTTAGGAAGGGAAGGGCAGGCGGAGGACCTCTGACGTCAGGGCTGGGCTTGTTTGGGTTTGGGGGACCGTTTGGATGCAAGGTGTGCAGCAGCCTACAGACAGCAAGCATCCTTGTGGGCCCCCGTGTGACACAGCCTCAGAGAGGCGGGGTGAGGGGTCGCCCCAAGTAACTGGCCTGCGAGTCTGCACTGAGGGACCCACTTTACCGGGAGGCGCAGTCAGGAGACACGATGACGCCCCTGGACTCACAGGATCTCGGGAGAGGCCCCAGGGTCCTGTGTGCTCCGCCCACTGAGCAGGCATCCGGGACGGGATGGGTCCTCAGCTCGGGCCTGCCAGCCTCCCTCTGCCTTGCAGCGCTCACTCCTGATGTCGTGCACCAGTCCCTCTTCACGTCGGCCCTGGCGGCCCACCCGGACCGCTCGCTGTCCGTGTGCTGGGAGCAGCACTGCAAGCTCCTGCCTGGGGTGGCGGGCATCTCGGCCTCGACAGTCGCCAAGTGGACCATCGAGGAGGTGAGGAGTGAGAGTCCCTCCCTCATCTGCCTCCTGCCCCTCTTCTCCCCTGGCGGGAAGGCTCGGGAGAACCCCTGGTCTGGGTAATCAGGGACCCAGGACCCCTCCCGACCCGAGCTCCTGCTCATCCCTTCTGGCTGCCTGGCAGGGGCTGATGGAGACACTGTCCTCTGATAGGCCCAGGCTGTGGGTGGGGGGTGTGGCCTGTGCCCACAGCAATCCCGCAAGGGAGTCAGGCCTCAGCCGTGCGCCTCAGGAGTGAGGAGCCTCACCTCGCCCACACACCAGCCCAGAGACGGGACTGGCGAGCAGAAGCGGCAGTGGCACAGCCCCAAGGGCACTGAGGCCACACGGGCTCAGGCCAGCTGCACGCACACACTCCCAAGCCCCAGCCCCTTGTCAGCCTGCTCCTTTGGTTCCCCAGGTCTTTGGCTTCGTTCAGACCCTGACAGGTTGCGAGGACCAAGCACGCCTCTTCAAAGATGAGGTAAGGTGTGAGTGCGGAGCAGGGGCCGGAGGCAAGGCCACTGTGTCCTCGAGGCGGCAGGAAGCAGGTGCCCTCCTCAGCACTGCTGCGGCCCAACTACTCACAGAGACCCGTGTGTCTGGGGGAAGTCTGGCCCAGCCTGGGGACCCTGTGTGTTCAGCGTCATCTTTAGGAAGGAAAACACACCCTGGAGACAGGACTCGCTTCACTTCTCTGCCCTATCTTCTATTTGCCAGACTTATCTTCACCCGTCAACAAATTAAACTGATTTGAATGGCTCAGGCAATTCTGTCTACTGCAAAGATCCTAACACACACTTAAAAGCAGACCTGATTGCTTATGAAGATGAGAAGCAGTGAGTTGTGGATGAAAGAATGCTGGCTTGGGAGCCTGGGTTGGGATCCCAGGTCTGCTGATGCATTCCTTGTCTCTGGGCCTGTGTCTTCCTGACTATAAAAAGTGGTATACTGAGGACTGCCCTGTAGGGCCACTGTCAGCCCTGGAAATGAAGAATGAGACGTTGTATTAGAACATCTAGTGTAGTGACATCGCTAGCATGTTTGTGTGTGTATATGCAATAGCAATATTATTGAGTAACATGTAAATCATATTCCTATACCAGAATGCCTGATACAGTGAAGGTAATAAATGGTAATTCTGACTTTTAAAGAGATTTATTTATTTATTTGAAAGTCAGAGTTACAGAGACAGAGAGAGAGATCTTCCAACTGCTAGTTCACTCCCCAGATGGCTGCAACGGCCAGCGCTGAGCCAGGAGCTGCATCTGGGTCTTTCACGAGGGTGGCAGGGGCCCAAATACTTGGTCCATCTTCCACTGCTTTTCCCAGGCCATTAGCAGGGTGCTAGATAGGAAGTGGAGCAGCCAGGACATGAAGTGGCACCCATATGGGATGCCGGCATTGTAGGTGGTGGCTTTACCCACTAGGCCACAACACTGGCCCCATCTGAATTTTTTTTAAAAGATTTATTTGTGTATTCATTTGAAAGAGTGACTGAGAAAGAGGGCAAGACAGTGAAGGAGGGGCCGGCGCTGTGGCGTAGTGGGTAAAGCCGCTGCCTGCAGTGCCAGCATCCCATATGGGCGCCAGTTCGAGTCCTGGCTACCCCACTTCTGATCCAGCTCTCTGCTATGGCCTGGAAAAGCAGTAGAAGATGGCCCAAGTCCTTGGGTCCCTGCACCCGTGTGGGAGACCTGGAAGAAACTCCTGACTCTTGGTTTCAGATTGGTGCAGCTCCAGCTGTTGTGGCCAATTAGGGAGTGAACCAGCAGATGGAAGACCTCTCTCTCCCTCTCTGCCTCTCCTCTCTCTGTGTAACTCTGACTTTCAAATAAATAAATAAATAAATCCATTTTTTAAAAAAAAGGACAGTGAAGGAGAGAGAAATCTTCCATCCTCTGGTTTATCCCTCAAATGGCTGCCACAGTCAGGGCTGGGCCAGGGTGAAGCCAGGAGCCTGGAACTCTGGGTCTCCCATGTGGATGGCAGGGGCCCAAGCACTTGAGCCATCTTCTGCTGCCTTCCCAGGTGCATTAGCAAGAAGCTGAACTGTAGGTGGGTCAGTTGGGACTTGAACCTGCACTCCAATAGGAGATGATGGCTTTGCAAGCAGCAACTTCACCTGCTGCACCACAACACTGGCCCCTAGTTCTGGCTTCCAGTGCTCAGGTTTCCTTAAATAAAGAACTTCATGACTCTACAGAGTATGAAACAGTAAGGGACCTTTGATTTTGTATAGGGCTTCCTTCCAAACAATACGGATACCCTCCTTTGCAGCTCCTTCAGCCAGGGAAGCGTGGTCTCAGCAGCCCATCGCTGCCCACTCCAGGTCAGGTGGTCCTAACAAGGCCCCCATTTAACTAGCTTGTCAACCGCGGCAGGTGCTTACAAGTGAGGGAACTGGGCATCTTGGGCAAGGGCCTTCGCCTCTCTGCCTCAGCGTCCTCGTGTGTGAAATGGGGGTGACACTGGTATCGCTTCCTAAGGTTGTCGTGAGGGTTAAATGCGTTAATGAGTGATGAGTGCTTGCTTAAACAAGTGTGCAGCACCTAAGAAGCAACACGGAATGTCTTCTGTGCCTGATTCCCGAGGACCAGACATAGGAGCAAGGTTCTTCTCAAAACCAGCAGCCCTGGCCCTGCACAGCCTCCGCTGCCCCAGCTCTCTGGTCTGACTTCCTCTCTCACACCTGGCATCTTCCTTCCCTGACAGTACCCACCAGCCTGTCCCCAGAGCTAGCCATTAGCAACATTTTCTGTATTTGCTTTGCCTATTTTTGGTTGAAGTTTTGTTTTTATTTTATTCATTTGTTTGAGAGGTATAGTTACAGACAGAGAGAGGGAAAGACAGAGAGAAAGGTTTTCCATCCACTGGTTCACTCCCCAAATAGCCGCAATGGCCGGAGCTGGGCCCATCCGAAACCAGGAGCCAGGAGCTTCTTCCAGGTCTCCCACATGGGTGCAGAGACCCAAGGACTTGGGTCACCTTCCACTGCTTTCCCAGGCCATTAACAGGGAGCTGGCTCAGAATAGGAGCAGCTGGGGCATGAACTGGCGCCCATATGAGATACTGGTGCTGCAGGCGGAGGCTTAGCCTACTATGCCACAGTGCAGCCCAAAAATTATTTTATTATTTTATTAAAATATCGTAACTAGTGGTTCACAGGAACCTAACCATTTTTGAAGATTTATTTTTGTTTATTTGAAAGGCAGAGTTAGAGAGAGAGAGAGAGAGAGAGATCTTCCATCTACTGGCTCAAAAAACCATAATGGCCGGGGCAGGGACAGGCTGAAACCAGGAGCCTGGGACTCCAGCTGGGTCTCCCATGTGGAAAGCTGGGGCCTAAGGACTTGGGCAATCTTCCACTGCTTCTCTAGGAACACTAGCAGGGAGCTGAGTTGGAAGTGGAGCAGCCGGGACTCGAACTGGTGCTCATATGGGATGCAGCTGTCGCGGGAGGTGGCTTAACCCACTGTGCCACGACACCAACCCCTATATGAAGTCATTTTAAGGAAATTATAGACATCATGATGTTTTACCTTGAACACTTTCATTTGCGTGTCTTAAAGCTAAGGGCTTTCTGGCCAGGTATTTACCCTAGCAGTTAATGTGCCCCTGTCCCACGTCCAAGTACTGGGGTGCGATGACTGCCTATAGCTCCCGACTTCAGCTCTTTGCTAATGCACACCCTGGGAGGTGGCAGTGACAGCTCAGGGGGTTAGATTCCTGTCACATGCATGGGAGACCTGGATTAAGTTCCCAGCTCTTGGCTTTAGTCCCCAGCCCAGTCCCACCCATCTTGGGCTTTGGGGGAGTGAACTAGCAGATGGGACCTTTCTCTCTAAGTCTATTTGTCTGTCTCTCTGTGTGTCTCTCTTCCTGTGCGTCACAAATAAATAAATAAACATTTTCAGAAGCCACTAAGGATTTTCCCTATGTAAGCCCAAGACTGTTGCCCCTCTCCAAGATGGACAGGAACTCTGTTGTATGACCGCGTCCACTAACCAAGTCTGTATGCCGACATCTCCATTTCTCCATTGCCTCTGAAGAGTTGTTGGCAGTTTTTGAGGCAGGATCCAAACTGGGCCCGCATGATTGCTGTCCGTTGTTTCATCTCTTAAATATCCTCTCTTCGGGAACAGCCCCTCTCATTTCTTTTTCACAATCTTTTTTTAAAGATTTGCTTTTTTTTTTTTTTTTTTTTTTGAAAGGCAGAGAGAGAGAGAGAGAGAAAGAGAGGTCTTCCATCTGCTGGTTCACTCTCCAGATGGCCGCAAAGGCCGGAGCTGCGCTGATCCAAAGCCAGGAGCCAGCAGTTTCCTCCGGGTCTCCCACGCAGGTGCAGGAACCCAAGCACTTGGGCCATCTTCTACTGCTTTCCCAGACACGTTACCAGGGAAGTGGATTGGAAGTGGAGTAGCGAGGACTCTCCCCGGCACCCATATGGGATGCTAGTACTGCAGGTGGCAGCTTAACCTGCTACGCCACAGCGCCAGCCCCTCACTATATTTTAACAAGTCTTGTGAAACGTATTCTTCTGGGTTTTGTCCGTGGCTTCCTTGTGGTGACACTTAACTTACTCTTGTACCTTCTGCAATTCCCCGAATCCGGAAAAGCTTCGTCCAAAGGCTTGGTTAGTGTTGGGTTAGCTTGCTCTGTCTACCTTTGTGTACCGTGCACCTAGCACTGCATCACTCTGGGACGCACGCAGGGTCCACCTGTCTCACTGTTAGCAGCAGTGAGGTTGACCTGAGGGTCCACGTGGCAGCAACTACAGCAGGTTTGGGGTTCGGGGTTTTTTGTGTGATCGTTTTTTGGTTGGTTTCTGGCATTTCAAAGACTTGAATCACACGCCAGCGATCCATCCGGAGGTTGTTCAGGAACCGTCTGCAACAGGACGTGGGCAAGGCTGGCTTCCTGGAAGTGCGACCCTGCAGTCTGCCAGGGGCCAGATGGGGCCAAGCCCGCCCGGCCCCCTGCTCGGATCTCACTCTCCTGAAATCCTGCATGATGTTTACATAAGGGCTGTGTGCCTGCATTTGGTGCTGAGCCCACCGCGGCAGGTTTTTGAAGCCTCTGTCCGTAAGCACTTGACAGACTGAAAATGCAAATACTGACGCTCAGGCTGGTCAGCGCAGTGGGGAGAGAGAGAGAGGGGAAGGCTGCGTGCCGTGACGTGGGGAGACCAGTGGCTGCTGCTTTCCTTCTCCGTCCCCATGGCTGTCTCCTTTTTTCCTTTCTCTTCCCTTCTCTTTTCTCCTTTTCCTTCCTCCTCCCTCTCTCGTCCTCCCCCACATCCTCCCGTTCCATTGCACCCCCAATGCGCATCGCCCCCTTCCCTCCCCCGGCCCCCCACGGCCCTCTCCACCCTCTCCGATTTCCCCTCCCCTCCCCCAACCCCTCAGATGATTGACGGCGAGGCCTTCCTTTTGCTGACACAGGCGGACATTGTGAAGATCATGAGCGTCAAGCTGGGCCCAGCCTTGAAGATCTATAACGCCATTCTCATGTTCAAAAACGCCGACGACTCCTTAAAGTGACTGTCAGGCCCGGGGCCTTTGCTGGGCCTCCCGCGCCGGCTGATGCTTCTTTCCCAGCCTCAGTTCCTCGTGTCCCGTTCTGTCCCTGTGCTCTGGGTCTGACAGGGGCTGGTCCTTCCTGGACAGCAGGTGGAGCAGAGGGGCCCTGGGAAGGTGGAGTCCTGGGGCTCGCTTGCCACCACGCATGTCAGGGAGGTGTCCCTGGGCTGGGGGCATTACTGACGGGGCAGGCTGAAGGGGCCCTGGTCCAGGCAGCCCCACGCCAAAGGTCTTTTTCTGAGCAGTGCACAGGAGTGGCGGGACTGGAGGTCTTTAGTCTGCTGTCCTTTCCCCTTGTTGGCTCCGCCACAACCACCCCCTTCTGTCTGCTGGCTTTGCTGCCCTCCTTTTGTGGCCTGGTTTCCTGGTGGCGCCCCCACAGCCAAGGCCCAGGCAAGCCCCTGGCTCTTCCCCTTAGATGTGTGGGCCTCAGAAACTTGTCCTGGGATCCACTGGGAACCTCCGGCCACCTTCCACCCTTTAGCTCAGAAGTGGGGGACCCTGCGCCTGGACACCTGCTAGAACATGCCCCATCCTGGCCCACTTGGCATCGTGGTGTCCTACGTCAAGTCCTAGTTCCGGCTGGGGGAAGGTGACGAGAGCCCGTGTGCAGCTGGCAGAAGTCTCCACTGCATTCTGCACACACCCGTCCTGTGTTGGGCCTGGGCGGGAGGAAGCCCGGCCTGGCAGGTAGCCCTGGCAGGAGGCCAGCCCGAGGGCCTGCCAGACCATCTCGAGTCTCTGGCCAGTGGGGCAGCTCTAGCAGGCTGGGACACCCCAAGCTGGGCACAGCATCCTCTGTGTGGCTGTAGATCTCAGCTAAGGTATTGCCCGGAGCGCGAGGGCCCCACGCCCGCCTGCCAGGCCTCTCTGTCTTGAGAATGTAGCACTGTGTCACGTGACGTCGCCTCCCGTCTGTCCCTTAGATGTTTGTTTAACGCTTACAGTGTTAGAACAGCCAGATTGGGAAGGTGGACTCCTCCCTTCAAGTATTCCAGGTCCTTTAAGCCCTTCTCCGCACTGCCACCTGGAGCCCGACTAGGGCTCTGGGACTTCCTCGCCCTGTCAGGTGGGTGCCCAGCCTCCTCCAAGCCACTGCCAAACCTGCGTGCTAGGACGGGCCAGAGTGCCCAGCAGGAGCCAGGGAGGCGAGGGGCCAAGGCCACGCCTCCCCGCCCCCAGGTGCTGAGATGAACCTGCAGGGTGTGGGGTCAGGGGCCTTCCCCAAGCCCCTTCTCTCAGTCATGTGTGTGCATGTGTGTGTGTGTGTGCACGTATGTGTAGGGCACTCTTAGCAGTGTTTGAAAGGGTGCTCAGCGTTGGGAAAACGTCAAGGGCTATTGTTGTTCAAGTACAAAGCTTTATTTTTTCCTTAGAAGCGGGATGCCCAAAGCTCTGCTGCTTTCCTGCCACAGCCCCTGGCAGGGGCCCCTGTCTCCCAAGGGGGAGGACAGCCGTGCAGCCCCCTGCAGACCTCTGTGGGGCTTTCAGACCTGAGAGGCATCTCTGAGCACAACTTTCCTGGGAGGGCACAGGGCAAGGCCAGCTGTGAGGTGAGGGTCGGGTTTATAGAGGCCATGTGGTGCCCTGTGGCCCAGGGCAGGAGGAGCAAGTCCAAGCCTCTCTTTCATCTTGTCACCTGGGTTAGAACAAAACTCATCAACTGCTCATCCTGCGACGCTTGCCAGCTTGTGAGGTGCTCACAGCTGGTGCTGGGGGCCTCCTGGCCCCTAAGGACAGAGGCCACGGCAGCTTTGCTGTGCAGCTGCACCAGGCGTGCCAGCCACCTAGTACTCGCCTTCTGAAAGGCCAGCTGAGCCAAGGACCATGGAGAAAAAGTCTCAGGCTGTGGGGCCTCAGCGCTTTCTGCACTGACATTGAACTCTTTGGGAAGAGAACAACTCATCAGATGTGGCAAGAAGTCTGGCCTCTTCACCCCATTCTGTCCCCAGCAGAGATCATCAGCCCTTGACCTGGGAATGCAGTGAGGGAGGGAGTTGGCCGTGGCCGCCCCCGCTGCCCTGTGCCCGGCTCTCTAGCAGTGGGTGCCACTTACCCTTTGACTCCTGCAGGCACACCCAGCCCCGCCCAGCCCTGGCCTGGGGCGGGGAGGACGGTCCCAGAGTCTGCGAACGAAGCCTTTTTGCACTTTTGATTCACATGCACTGTGGTGGGATTGCATTTCTGTACTTGCCTCTGCACATGTGGGTGTGCACGTGCGTGCGAGTTCTCTCAGAGAATCCACTGGTGTAAGCTGAAGCGCCTCCGACTCCGGGGTGAGAACAGGTTGCAGATGAGATGTGTGATGTGTCCTGTACTGAAACGTGGTGAATAAACGTGAGCCTCTGGGTGAGACGCAGCAGAGTCTGGTTCATTCCTCCGGAAACACCCAGAAAACGCAAAAGGAGCATGTCGTGAAGAGGCCGACGGGTTCTCCTGGCTGTACATTAGTCTGTGAGCAGGCAGGGAAGCGGCAGAAACACCAGCTGTGATCACCGTACCCTCTCCCTCGTCAGTATCCTTCATAGCTCTGCCTGCGGCTCCTCCAGACCGGGCCGAGAGAACGCACACCACGCAGCCAGCCACCTGGGAGCCCGTTGCCTCGACCCTGCCCTGGGAGCTTGCTTGCTTGACCCAGCACAGTGGTGCCACAGTAGCTTTGTCTCTGACTTTAGCATGAACAAGAGCCTAAGGGCTACCCAAGGAAGCCACTGGGGTTTGGGAAGGCTTAGCTCCAACTTCCCTTTCTGCAGTCCTGAAACCTCCTGTGCTGTTACCTTCTCCAGTGTCTGAATAGATGTCCATCGGCATCACGGAGAAACTGAACATCCACTCCTGCCTGCCACTACATCTGCTCGTGTCCCCCTCCCACACCCATCCTTCTCCCTCTCCTGTTCAGTGGGAGAGTTGATGCTTCCACTTGTCCAGAGCAAATCCTCCACCAACCAATGGTTGCAATAGGAGGAAAAGAAGCATTGAGAGACAACAAAGAGTTTTTGGAAGCTTAAAATGTGATCGCTGAGATTTAAAAAATCAACACAGGTTTGAAAGTTGATGACTTTACCCAGAAAGTAGAATAAACATAGATGGAAATAGAATGAAAGGAAGAAGTTAGAGAAGCTAAGAGGAATTCCAATGGGCAAGAAAAGAGGACATAAGTTTGATTAATCACAAACTTAAGGGGCAGGCTTTTGGCCTGCTGGTTAAAATGCCTGCGACGTGTCCCATATTGGAGCGCCTGGGTTCAATGCCCACCTCCGGCGCCTGGCCCTAGCTTCCTGCTGTTGCAGAGCCTGGGAGGCAGCAATGATGGATGGCTCAGATGCTTGGGTTCAACAGAAAATGAACCGAGGTAAAACAACTTATCAACATAGTACAGGGGTGGAGGGGAGCAAGGTTATCTCAATTGCCACAGAAAAGGCATTTGACAAAATCCATTTTCATGATTTAAAAAAAAAACACTCAGAAAACTATGAGGAGAAGGGAACCATGCTGTGAAAGGCTGAGTGCTTTCTCCCAAATATCAAGAATAAGACAGAGGTGCTTTTAAAAAAATATTTATTTGAGAGGCAGAATTACAGAGACAGAGGGAGAGACAGAGATCTTCCATCTGTGGACTAATTCCCCAAAAGGCTGCAATGGCCACAGCTGGACAGGGCCAAAGTTAGGAGCCAGAAGCTTCTTCTAGGTCTCCCACATGGGTGTAGGGACCCAGACACATCAACCAGGAGCTGGATTGCAAGAGGAGCAGCTGGGACTTGAACCGTTGCCCATATGGGGTGCCAGCATCACAGGTGGGGGCTTAACCTACTGCACCACAAGGCCAGTCCTGACCAATGATGCTTCCTTTCACTTCTGCTATTGAGTCTTGTACTGCAAATTCTAGACAGGGCAATTCAATAAGAAAAGAAATAAAAGGCATCCAAACTGATAAGGAAGAAGGAAACTTACTCACAAATTACATGATATTCTATCTGGAAAATCCCAAAGAAACTACAAGAAAGTTGCTGGAACTAATAAATTCAGTCAAGTTAAAGATTATATATCAACACATAAAAATCAGTTGTGTTTCTATATACCAGCAGCGACCACTCAAAAAAGGGGAAAAAAAGAAGCAATTGCATTTACAGGATTATCTAAAAGAATAAAATACCTAGAAATAAATTTAAAGGAGATGGGCCGGAGCCACAGCTCACTAGGCTAATCCTCCGCCTGTGGCGCCGGCACCCTGGGTTCTAGTCCCGGTTCGGGTGCAGGATTCTGTCCCGGTTGCTCCTCTTCCAGTTCAGCTCTCTGCTGTGGCCCAGGAGGGCAGTGGAGGATGGCCCAAGTGCTTGGGCCCTGCACCCACATGGGAGACCAGGAGGAAGCACCTGGCTCCTGGCTTTGGATCGGCACAGCGCGGAGGCTGTAGCGGCCATTTGGGGGGTGAACCAATGGAAGGAAGACCTTTCTCTCTGTCTCTCTCTCACTGTCTAACTCTGCCTGTCAAAAAAAAATTTAAATGAGACAAAAGACTTGTATGCTGAAAGCAATTAAAGACTTAACTAAATGGAAGGACATTTGTATTTTCAAAGTAGGAAGACTTACTATTATTCAGGTGTCAGTATTACCAGTGTGATCTACAGATCTAATGCAATCCATGTCAAAAACTCAAGCTGCCATTGCAGAGCTGGATTGATCCTCAAGTTCGTAGGGAATTATGAGGTGCTCCAAACAGCCAAAACAATCTTGACAAAGAAAAGAGTTGGAGAGCTCAATTCTCAGTTTCAAAACTTACTACAAAACTACAGTAATCAAAACCACATGGTATGTATTGGCATACTGCAGACATAGGCCAATGGAATAGAATGGAAAGTCCAGAAATGAACCCATATATCTATGGCCAACTGATTTTTTATGAGTGTCGAGTCCTTTCAGTAGGGAAAGAATAGTCTCTTAAACAAATGGAGCTGGAACGATTGGATTTCCAAGTTGTTGGATGATAACTTCACCTAATACAGAAAAATTAACTCACAGTGAGTCAGTTCACTAAATATGAGAAAACCCTTAGAAGGAAGCATGAAGATAAATATCCATGATTGCCAGTAGATTCTTAGATGTGACACCACAAACACAAGCAACAAAAGAGAAAGATAAATTGACCGTCATCAAAATGATATATAAACTTTTGTGCTTCAAAAGACATTATCAAAAGAGTAAAAAATCCCACAGGATGGGAGAAAATGCTTGCCATCATATCCAATAACTTCTTGGCCTTTTGGCTAAGATCAAGTGTAATTATATCCAACAAGGATTTAATATCCAGAACATAAAGAACTCCTAAAATTAACACAACTCAATGAAAAAATGAGCCAAGGTCTTTAATTTACATTCCTCTAAACAAGATATATGAGTACAAATGGCCAAAAAGCTCATTAGACATTAGGGAAATGCAAATGAAAACCACAGTGAGATAGCACTTCACATCTTAGGGTGGCTATAATCAAAACGAAGAAAAGGGGCCGGCGCCGTAGCTCACTTGCTTAATCCTCTGCCTGCAGCGCCGGCATCCCATACGGGCGCTGGCTTCTAGTCCCAGTTGCTCCTCTTCTAGTCCAGCTCTCTGCTGTAGCCCGGGAGTGCAGTGGAGGATGGCCCAAGTACTTGGGCCCTGCACCCCATGGGAGACCAGGATAAGTACCTGGCTCCTGCCATTGCATCAGCGCGGTGCGCCGGCCACAGCGCACCGGCCGCGGCGGCCATTGGAGGGTGAACCAACGGCAAAGGAAGACCTTTCTCTGTCTCTCTCTCTCACTGTCCACTCTGCCTGTAAAAAAAAAAAAAAAAGAAGAAGAAGAAGAAAATAAAATGCTGCCCAGATGAGGATGAGGAAAAATGGGGGCTCCTTATAGTGCTGATGAAGAAGTAAAAGAGTACAGCTGTTTTGGAAAGCGTTTTCCCCCCTCAAAAGCCTAAGCATAGAACTATATGACATTGCAATTCCACTTCTCGGTGGAAATTCACTTCAGGAAATCTACCTGAAAGAGTTGAATACAGATTCTTGTACACCTGTGTTCATTGCGGCACTGTTTACAATGGCCAAAAGGTGGAAGTAACCCAGGTGGCCATCAGGAGATGGATAGACAAACAATGGAATGTTACTCAGCCACACGAAGGAATACAGTTCTGAAACCTGCATCCATATGGATGAACTTTGAAAGCATTGTGTTAAGTGAAACCGGCCAGACACAAAAGGACAAATACTATATGATTCCACATGTATGGGAGATCTAGAATTGACAGATTCATAGACTGACAGTAGATGAGAGACTACCAAGCACAAAGGTAAGAGGAAATGTGGAGTTACTGCTTAATAGTTTCAGAGTTTCACTTTAGGGTGTTTAACGCGTTTGAGAAATAGAGAGTGGATTTGGAGAGACTTAGAAATAGTGGTGATGGTTGTGCAATATCATGAAGGTACTTGGATACCACTAAACTATACACTGAAATGGTCACAGTGGAAAAATTCATATTTGCATACATTTCCTGCAATAAACCACTGCTGGTGGCCATGTCCGTTGACTGAGCTTTTTACAGTAGTTTGGTAGATGGGTCAAGATTAACCCCAGAACTCCCACTTCAAGGAGTTTACCAGACAGAAATACGACCTCAAGGCCACAGGACATGAATGCCAAGTTTTCTGAGGCTTTGCTACAAGTGTGAGACCAGTGAAAGCCTTCATATCTCATTAGCAAAGGAGCAGGACAAGGGTGGTGACGTGAATCCCACACTGCACTGAGAGGCAGCTGTCAAAAGGCTGAATCTCTGTGTAGTCTCTCACGCATGTGAGGGGGAAAGAAATGAATAGCTGAACAATATATGTAGAATAGGCCAGAATTCTTTTCTGGGGAAAAAGAATGGTAAACGGATACATAGGTTAGGTTAGCATGTGGACAGAAGTCTGGAAATATTGCCATCCTCGGTGAACAGCAACTACCTCTGGAAGTGAAGTTGAAGTTTGAGCTGGAAGGGAAACTTTTGCTCTGGATCTTATGGTCTTCTGTTGTTGGAATGCTTATGCAGTCGTGCCATTATGTGGATTTGTAACAAAAAAAAAGAACCCGAGCTCAGCTCTGGGAGTGCAGAAAGGGAGCTTGGTGGGGCAGCTTGGCTCAGGGAAGGGGCGGGGCCTCAGGTGCTGCCCTGATTTGCTCTGTGCACCTGGGCTGGCGCCTCCCCTTGCTGGGCGGAGGCCAGACCTGTGCTGATGTGTGTGTTGCTGGAGGCAGGGGGCGTGACCACACAGGGCCCCTCCAGAGCACATCAGAGCGATCGGTCTGTATGGCACTAGCTGATGGGAAAGTTGTTGACATTTTCATAAAGGAGAAAAGGAGGAAGCATTGTGAAAGGCAGACTCCGAGACGCCTACTGAGGAGGGGTTACTGGGAAGGGCTTTTCTCACGTGTCCAGCGGGCTAGCCCTTGCCCCTGCCCTGAGTTAGAACCCTCGACCCTGGGCGGCCTTGGGTCAGCCATGAGAAAACGTCCCGTGCAAGCTGGGAGGAGCTGAGCTCTGGTCCCTGAACCTCAGCTTTGCAAAGGGCAGAACTGGGCATGGGTCCCAACTCACCTGTGACTCACCTCCCAGGAAGGCGCCAGAGCAGGTGAGCTGCGGGTGGCAGGCTCGGCTGAATGTAAGAGAGTGCCAGAGGTGTCCAGCAGTGAGGGTCCCAGCGGGGAATGAGAGTCCCATCCCTGGAAAGGCCAGGCATTGGGGCTAGTAACCCCCATCAGGGAAAGGGTAGAAGGGAGGGTCCTGGGAGACAAGTCTTTCCACTGTCAGTCCTCCAGGTTGGAAGAGAAAGGAAAGCAACTCGGCTGATAGGGTGCCAAAAGGCTCTAGGGGCGAGTCAGCATTGGAGCTGGACCTTGGGCCCTTGGAGCACAGGGTAATTCCAGAGAATGGACATGTGACAGTGTCAGCAGGCAATTCAGAGACCCTCCCTGGAGTCAAGACACACACACACCATCCTCACCATGCAGTTCCCATGCAGCTCAGGTAGCTGAAGTCACTTGCCCAAGGTCACACAACTTAATTTGTGCAGTAGCTTTTAAAAGTTTCCAGGGTCCCCAGGGCAGGGCCATCCAGGAGCCAGTGGACACAGCCAGGCTTAGTAATCCACGTCCGGCAGTTAATCAGTAACGGCAAGGTCTTGAGGCCAGCTCCTGGTCGGCTGAGCTGGGAGGTTGAACTCCAGCGGGCTTGGGAGCCAGGACGACTGGATGACAGGTCACTCCTGACTCAGAAGGTTGCTGGGCAAGTCAGGATTGGACTTTAGGGCGGAGGAACCATGCAGAGGACGGACAGGAGGGCAGAACCGGGCACAGGGCTGCTGCCCAGGACTTGAGCTGGGACTGAGTTTGCAGGTAAGAGACCCATCTGAGAGCGGGACACCTGCCTGCTGGCTTCTTGGTTTGCTGATTAATTGACTAGTTAGCTAACTCCTAGCTACCTATTTACTTCCCTTTTTTCCCTCCTTTTTTCTCCCCTCCCTCTCTTCCTTCTTTTCTTATCTCCTAACCTCTTTCTTCCCAGCCATCCCTCTGCCCTCTCGGCTGCAGGATTTTCTTTCTCCCTAACTAACCTACTTACATCCTCACTTCCCTCCCGCTTCTACCCCTTTCTTGTCTAACGTCCGGCTTTTCCCTGAAATTCCAGGCCGCCGGATCTGGGGTCGCAGTGCCTGGGATCAGATTCTGGGTCTGTCGTTTATTGTCTCTGTGACTTGACCAAGGCACTCCCTGCCTCCATGCCTTGGTTTCCTCCTCTTCAAAACAGGGATGGTGATAGCTTTGAACCTGTGGGGTTGTGGGAACCAAGTGAGGCCAGGCTGGAACTTGGTGGGGCAGGTGGGTAAATGAATCCATTGCAGTGAAGACGGGGCAACCAAAGAGACAGGCACAGGGAAAGGAGAGAGGGTTCCCGGGGCCAGGAGGTGATCTGGCAAGGCTCCCAGGGAAGGCAATCGAGAACAGATAGCTAGGTTGGTTGTGGCAGGGGGTTGGTGTTCAAAAAGTTCATGGAAAATGCATATTAAAAAAAAACTACACTCAGATTTCCAAAAATTTTTGTACCGAAATCAATTTATCTCTTCATTCTGTGTCTCCACAAACTTCTTGAAGTACCTTTGTGGAAGTCCAGAAATGAGGAGAGAATTGGAACTAGGGAGAGAGATTTGGGAGCTGTCAAGTATCGCTGCTTATGTCATTAAACTGGTTGCGATCGATTAGGGAGTAAGTGTAGACAGAGCTTCATGACCGCGCCTGCCGGCAGGCCAGTAGTTAAACATAAAAGGAAGGGGCGGATCCAGCAGAAGTGACAGAGGACGAGCAGCCAGGAGCCAGAAGGACACTGAAGCCAAGTGGGCAGAGTGAGTGCGTCAAAGAGGGAGTTGAGTAAGGTGAGGATGAAGGACCCCTCCCTGGCCTTGGCTCATGGAGACCTCCGGTCCGTTGTCTCGTTGGGGTGTTCGGATGAAAGCCTGTTGGGAACAGGTTCAAGAGAGCCGAGGGGGAGGAGTGGAGACCCTGAGTCCAGACTGAGAAGGGGAAATGAGACAGCATGTGGACAAGGTGTAGGTCTACCCAAAGTGGCCTTAGGTGGGACGTTTAGGTCATTTCTGTCACTATTATTTTGCTGTGATAAATGATGCTGCCAATTGAAAACCCCTTGTCATTGAAAAGAAATGTCCTTGTCTCGGGTGTGTGTTCTGTCAACACGACGTCCTGCCGATCTGTGTATTAGTTCAATATTTCCATTTTTTCTTTTCAAAGATAGAAGACTCTGATCTGTTCCTAGCATTTTCTTGGGACAACCCCCCCAGGTCCCTGGCATTTCAGAGCCCACAGAGAACTCTTCCCTGACTAATGCCCTCCGCCCTAGCTCCACGCGTCCCTCCCCTGTCATGTCCTGTAGCCACACGGAAGAACCACAAGGGAAGGGCAGAGTTGGGCCAGCCGGCACTTGCCCACTGCTCGGGAGCTCCTGGGGAGTGGAAGGGCCCATGAGTACCTGCTGACTGCTCTAGGCAGCAAGGCCCTCAGGAGCCAGGCTGCTCTGGGACCTGGTTTCTTACACAGCAGCAGAGCTCTGGGCCAACCAGGCACAATGCACCAGAGCCCTTGAAGGGCCAGCAAGGAGAGGCCCAAAGAGCCAGGTGCCCAGGAGTATTCAAAGTCCAAGACCAGCTGGACAGAGCCAGACACCTGGGCCTCAAATTCTTCTTGAAACGTCTGCAGGTTCTTGGTGTCCAAGGGCTCTCAGCTTCAGGGGCTGAGGTCTCTGGGACCTCTTCTTCAGCCCCAGATGGTCCCCATGGGGCCTGGATAGGCCTGGGGCATCATAGTTTCTTATAGACAGGCCCCTACACACTTATACAGCTGTGCATACCGAGAAATTCACTGATGTACACCGATATGAGCAGACACATGATGCCATACCTATAGACATGATTACACAGTCATACACATATTCCTAGACAACTATATTCATCTTCAGACACACAGACACTCATGTGTGCACACTGACACATGCATGTTAACATACGTGAAAATGCACACTTGCACCGACTACATCCATACACATGCCACACACACTGAGCAGGGATGCACACAGTTCCAGAGGCACAGACACAGAGATAAATATACCAATGGGGTCACGTGGACACACACGTGCAGTCATCTCTACCCAGACTCATACACACTGACACAAATTCCTGAAATACACAGCTGCAGACACAAAAACACTGAAGCACATTGAGGCACAAAACACTTGCACACACACCCTGACTCACACAGTCACACACATTCTAACAAGCCCCGAGGGTTTCCAGGGCTCTCCTCGGGCTGTTGCCCTCCCCTCTTAACCCCTCCCCCACAGGGTACCAAGGTTTTCACCCTCTCCTAAGCTCTGCTGGACCCCACGTGACACTGACCAGCCCCCTTGCTGCAGCGCTGGGAGATCCGAGCTCTGTGCTGGGGCCAGGCTGGCACCAGGCAGACACTTCGGCCCTTGTTGGGAGAACAGAGAGCCTCTCTTGTCTACTGCCCGTCCTCAGCCCCGACTGCTGGTTCCCTCTGGAAACCTGTCTTCGGACTGCGCAGGTAAGTGAGGCCAGCGTGGCCAGGGCCTGGGTGAAGGGTTGTCAGGTCGGCCCAGCCCTGTGGGTGCAGGTGCATCCATACTTGGCAGTTCTGCAGCTGGGTGGACGTCCTTGTGGCAAGGACGTAAGATTCAGCACAGGGCTCAGCCTGGGGCTGTCCGTAGGTATTCAGGGTCTCCAACGTGCCTGCCTGGGAGTCCAGGAGCTCAGCCTGCCCCCTCACTCAGTGTGACCCTGGGAATGTCCTTTTCTAGGCCTCAGGCTTCCCACCTGGGAGGTGGGGAGAAGGTTCAGACTTTCAAGCTGCCCTGGCTCATAGGGGTCTTGCCATCGTGGCTGTCCCTAATCCTTGATAAGACTCCGGCTGGGAGGGGGCCACCTCTGACTGTTCCCCTCCATCCCTCCTGAGATGTGTGGTGAGGAAGGCTGGGTCCAGCTCCTCTCCACACACGGGTTGTAGCCTCTGGAAGGTAGGAGCTACTCAGGCCGTGGCAGGTGCATGGTATTAGGGAGGAGTGAAGCCCTGGACAGGGAAGATACCCCACCCCACCTCAGCTCTTTCATGCTAACTCCTCTCTGTGCCCCCAGAGCCCACCTAATCACAGCTACAGAATGGCCTCTAGCCCCACCAGGACCCCCAACACACAGGTGAGTAGTTCTTGGCCCTCACACTCTTCATCGGGGGTCACTTCCTCCCAGGGCTGTAGAAAAGTGTAGAGACATGGACCAGCTTTGGGGGGGCTGTCCTGGACCAAGGCTGGGCATGCAGAGGGGTCACTGAACCCATAGAGGGGAACCATTAGCAGGGAAATTGAGAAGAAGGGGTTCAGGAAGTAGACGGGATGCAAAAAATGTGGGATTCATTGTGAAGACACCGAAATTCTAGTCGCAGCCCGATTACCTGTGAGACCTTGGACAGCTCCTCTCTGGGCCTTGGTTTCGTCACTCTCACAGTCAGTCAGCAGCTCCCCCCCCCACCCCCCCGGAGCTGTGTGTGATGGTGGATAAGTGGGTGGGTGGTGGATGGGTAGAAGGAGATGAAGGAAGGAAAGCAGGGAGGAATGAGTGCTGGCAGGGGTCAGGACCTGAGCCATGGGAGGGACTGGGGGGGAGGGACCTGCTGATCTGAGTCACCTCTTTCTTTGAATGTCTTTAGTCCGCAGGGGCCAGTGGGAACATCAACCTGGGGCCTTCAGCCAACCCAAAGTGAGTTCTGGTCTCTCAAGCTACTTTCCTTCCTGGGCTTCCCTCGCCTTAGCAATGAAAGCCAAGTTCTCTGATCTGGCGTTCGAGACCCTCTGCTGTCTGGGCTCAGGACCCTCTCCCAGCTTTTGCCTGTGCCCTACTCTCTACCTGGAATGCCCCCCAGACATCTGCCTCGTTAGCAGTTCCTCCCCCTCAGGCCTTCCTCAGGGCTCTGGGCCCCAGATCCCTGCCTCCTCCGCAGGCCTTCTGGGCAATGTGCGTGGCTTTGTCTCCTCTTTGCCTGTTGAGAACTGGACTCTGGGCTTCCTGGGCGGGGGGAAGGTGGATCGTAGGGGCGCTCTCCTTACTGGGAGAAGGCAACTTTCCAAGGTATGGCTCCTGGAAGGCCCCCTATGTATCCCAGCCCCAAAGTTAAAAAGAACCCTGGCTCCAACAGAAAAAAGACCGTTTGGGAATACCAAGGAAAAAAAAAAAAAAAGAAAGAAAGTTTCCTGAGCTTGCAAATGTGACCCATGTTCTTCCGTTCTCCCCCAGTGCCCGGCCCACAGACTTCGACTTCCTCAAAGTCATTGGCAAAGGGAGCTATGGGAAGGTGAGTGAGTAGGTGGGAGTGGGAGGCCTGGGTCTCCCCTGCTCAGGCTCCTCTGCCTGCCACTTACAGGCAGAGGGTGCTCCCACACCTGCAGGGTGGAAGCGGGGGGAGAGGCTGGAGGAGAGCCAGAGTCACCCATGTTTGTGCTTCCGCTCAGGTGCTGCTGGCCAAGCACAAGTCCGACGGGATGTTCTACGCCGTGAAAGTGCTGCAGAAGAAGTCCATCTTGAAGAACAAGGAGGTACCAGGGCCCGCGCACCTGCTGTTCCTTTCCTGCCTCCAAAGATGCATCTCACCTCGGAGGGCTCCAAGGGCCTGGGTCGGGGGTGGTCACAGCCAGGGACCAGGTGGTGTCCAAGGTGCTGGCCCTCCCCAAGGCAGGCAGGCAGGCAGGCCGGCCACACTGCATCCCCTATAGGATGTTCAGGAGGGCCAGTGTGGCTCTTTCCCTTCCCTGGTGCACAAGTCATCTGCCCTGTTGGTGCCAGGCCCCTGATCTGTGCAGTGCGGGGGCCACACAGTTTACCCTCCAAAGGCCCTGCTGGTCATGGCCACCTGGATTTCTCCTTGCCCCAGCTGCCCTGAGTCCCTTTGAATACCTAACCCCCTGAGGAGGACTGAGAGAGAGAGGTTTGAATATCAAGTCAGGGACTCGAGAGTTATTGATGTTTACAAGGATGTTGTGCGGGTAGGAAGGGAAGGTCTTCCCAAGGGAGGTGGCCTTGGAGCTGGTCTTGGCTGTGGGTTTCGGATAATCTGAAAAGACGATGAGATGCTCTGTGTGTGTGTGTGTGTGTGTGTGTGAACAGCAGGAGCAAAGGTATAAATGTGGATGGTGTGGCCCTACCCCTGTGTCTTAAACTCAGCTGTCATAGATGCTCTGTTTTTTACCCTGGGAGGCAGCAGTTTCTGATGCAGGGACCAGAGCTACACCTCAGTGGGTGGCTAGAGATGCGAATGACCACGCTGAGTCCTCAGTCCTGGGCGGGGAGCCTGGCCCTGGCCCTGAACGCAGTAGGGAGCCATGGAGGGTGTTTGAGCAGGGGTGTGAGAAGGTCCTGGGCAGGCGTGACCCTGCCCCCCACCTGCGCGACCCACAGCAGGGTCACATCATGGCGGAGAGGAATGTGCTACTGAAGAACGTGCGGCACCCCTTCCTCGTGGGCCTGCGCTACTCCTTCCAGACCACAGAGAAGCTCTACTTCGTGCTTGACTACGTCAACGGCGGAGAGGTGAGTGGCCCTGCCGTGGCGCCTCCCCTGCCCGCCGCACACCAAGTTATGGGCTGGCCTCACCTCACCCTGACAGTAGACCCATTGTGTAGCTGACAAAACCGAGGCCCAAGGAGGTTTATCACTTGCTCTCAGCCACCCGGCGTGTACCTGGCAGAGCCGGGTTGGAGTGCAGGTCTGCCTGACTCACAGAAGACCGTCCACAGGAAAAGGCGCTCTGTGGTCCGGGTTTCTGCAGCTCCCATTTTACACTAGGTTGCAGGCTGGGGGTAACCAGTCCCTGTGCTGCCTGGAGGCCTGAGCCACCAGGTGACCCAGGCACACGGTTGGGGACACACTGGACTGTCTCAGGACATCGCTGTGTCTATGGGCACAATCTAGTGGGACTCCCCTCAGTGACCCCAGGTTTAACCTGCTGCCAGAGGGGAGTTGTTGTCCTGTGTCCCAAAGTCAAGGGATTTTGGTACCAGCAGAATGGACCAAGGCGATTGGCCCACGGACAGACCCGGGCTGGGCTTCCTGTGGCAGCCGTGACCTGTGTCACTCAGTTGCAGGGGAAGCCCTTCTGTGAACTACCCAGGGCCTCATCCCCACTCTGCCCATCTCAGTCTCTGTGACCCTGGGCGAGTCACTGAGCTGTTCAGTCCCAGTTCCCCCTTACGTGAAACTGGAAAACCCGTTGGTCCCTTGAGGGCATTAGGAAGATTCCATGAGATAAGAGATGTGAAGGGCCTGGAACCCCATAGGTGCTTGGTCAGTGCTAACCCATCTGTCCTCCTGCTCACACTCTGGACACTGACTGCCCTGTGGGGCAGGGCAAGCCTGCACTCTTTGGCCAGGACTACCCTGCAGCTCGGGGAGGGGTGACCGTGGCAGCCAGAGCCCCAGAAGTCCTCTCACACACCTCCTCCTTGCCAGCTCTTCTTCCACCTGCAGCGGGAGCGCCGGTTCCTGGAGCCCCGGGCAAGGTTCTACGCCGCAGAGGTGGCCAGCGCCATTGGTTACCTGCACTCTCTCAACATCATTTACAGGTGAGACCTGCTGTGGCTCACAGCCAGCCCAGGCCCTTGTCAGCCCCACAGCCAGAGGTTGTGTAGACCCCTAAATCCTGATGAAGTCCCAGTGAACTTGGAGGTCTTCCTTCCTATAGCCACGTGCCTGACCCCCTGGGCTCTCCCTCTGCATCTCTGGGGTCATCAGTCCTCCTGCCAGGACCCTGGGTCCCCAGCTCTCCCACGAAATGTTAAGACATCACAGGCTTTTTTTCCTGCTATTTCCTGCAGGGACCTGAAACCAGAGAACATTCTCTTGGACTGCCAGGTTGGTATGTTTGTGTGTGTGTGTGTGCATGTCTACACATGCATGTTCACGGGTGGGTGTGCATCCTACATGCATGCAATATGGGAAGCAGATGCATTTCAGTCTATGTGTATAAGTGTGCCCATGCGTGTGTGTACACATGTATGTGCGCATTACATGCACAGGGACCCGTGTGTACCTGTGTGTACAAGGTCTGTGTGTGGCAAGGGCAGAGTCAGGTGTATGGCAGTGGATTCTTGAGACGGGGCTCACCAGAAACAGGCTGAGCCTGAGCAGTAAGTGCAGGCTTATCAGGGAACACTTCTGAGAGACAGACCTTTCAGAAGGGGACACAGACAGGACTGGGCAGAGAAAGGAACTGGCCTGAATTGAGGTTGCAAGTGAGGCCTCAGCTCATCTTACAGGAGTGAGTGAGCTTGGGTGGCCCAAGCTCTGATGACTCTTTAACTGGGGACCCAAATTGATGACCCAAATTTAATTGATGACCCAAATTGGGGCACTCAGGCAGAGCCTTTGTGCTACTACAGCAACCAGCCAGTGGCTGTGGATTGGCCCTGGGGCATAACTTTGGGTCAATGTCCAAGCAGTGAGGGGATGGGCTTGGCAGCTGTGAAAGAGGGCATCAGGACAGAGCCCACAGGACAGACAGAGCTCACTCCTCCACCTGCCTCCTGCCCGGCTGCTTTCAGTTCCCAGCCCTCTGTCAAGGAGGGCCTGTCCGGCAAGAGCACCCTGGAGCTGCCACTGTCATGGGGATGGATCTGTGATGAGCTGGGGGCAGAGAGAGACGTGCCATGTTCCCAGCTGGCACACCGAGTGGCCCTCCAGCCTATCCTGGGCATCAGACCCCCCCAGCTGCTAGCCTGGGCCGTGGAGGTCGAAGCCTCTCCGTACTGTCGGTTTGACCCCCTCCCCTTCTGCCCCTGCTGTCCCTCATTCACAGGGACACGTGGTGCTGACGGATTTTGGCCTCTGCAAGGAATGTGTGGAGCCCGAGGAGACCACGTCCACGTTTTGTGGCACCCCCGAGGTAAGTGTGAGCATCCTAAAGAGAACCAGCCTCATCTCTGAGCAGAGCCAACTGAGAGGACTCCTCCCTGTTCACCCAAGCACTTCCCCTGAGCTGACTGAGCACTGAGCCTTGGTTTTCTCATCCGTGTAATGGGGTCACCAGCTCCTGGAGCTGCTGGGACCTGCTTAGCTACTGGAGAAGCCCTTCAGCAATGCCTCCTATCCAACAGAAACACAAGCCATGCATGCAAGCTAAAAGTGTCCAGCAGCCACATTTGTAGAGGTGAAATCAATTTTAAGAATGTATTTTATTAAATCTAATATATCCAAAACATTATTTTGAGACACAATCAATATAAAAATTGTTGAAAGAGTTTGTTTGTTTTCTCCTAAGTCTGTGAACTCCGGCACATATTTCACATTGACAACTGGCCCATTTCTATTTGGACCGGCCACATTTCAAGTGCTCAGTAGCCACATGTGGCCATTGGCTGCTATGTTAGCACTGCCCCACAGGGTACAAAACACAAGTCCACCTTCTTCTTCCAGCCTCCAAGGGCCTAGAGGGTTAAGGGTTGTCTGTCTCAGCAGTAATTCACATGTCTGTCCATCCTGCAGCCTTGAGATTAAAATCCTTCCTTGAGTTCTTACCAATCTTGGACCTTGGAGCTTGGTCCTCAAGGGCTCCCCGGAGGCTTAGACGGACATCAGGGTGGGGAGAGAGGGTTGAGGCGGCAGCACTGGAAAAGTCCTCCCACCTGGCATGAGGCAGGACTTCAGCTGCTCTGTTTCTCTCCATATGCCTGAAAATCTGAGTCTGGGGTCTCAGATGGGCCTCGTCAAGGTGGTGCTAGCATAGCTGATGGGCAGATGACTCCTCTGAGCAAGAGACGCTGTCTGTGTTTGTAAAGAGAAGTCCACTGGACAAAGCTGCCTCCCCGAAGCCTGACAGCCCAGCCATCCCTTCCTGGGACACTGTCATGAGCAGGGAGCAGGGGAGGTGGAACTCTGGCTCATGAAGGAGGCACAACGGCCTCCATGCATCTCCTCTTCCCTGACTTGGCCACTGCCGTGGGGTCAGGGACACAGACGACAGTAGCCATGGTTGCTCCCACTGTTGGAGGGCCTGCGCCTGTGTCACACGTTTCCTTACAGCAGCTCTCCAGGAGAGCTTCTGCACCCCTTCCTGTAGATGAGGAACCGAGTTTCTGGGAGGCCAAATGACCTACCTGGCACCATGCTCTGAATAGGCTCAAGTTTGCGTGGGCCTCTGCCCTTCCACAGGCCCACGTTGCTTCCACTTCATCTGTAGTCTGCCCGCTGCTCTGGGAGAGGGATCCCAGGGCTGCCCTGTTCCTAGGACACTGGTAGCCTCTTGGATGCATTTGTGCAATCAGAAGAAGGCAGCCCCTCTGGACAAACTAATTGGAAAAAGCAAAGTAAGTTGCCAGATTCCCTGCTGGAGTAGGGCTATTGCCTAGTGAGTGGAACACATCCAGGATTTCAGTACCCTCCATCTAAAAATGTACTAATTTGAGGAGGTGGAGAGAGAGAGAGAGAGAGAGAGAGAGAGAGAGAGAGAGAGAGAGAGAATGGGCACCCCTCTGCTGGTCCACTGGTCTGCTCCTCAAATACCCACAGTGACCAGGACTGGGCTGGGCCAAAGCTGGGAACTAGAAACTCACTCTGGGTCTCCCATGCAGGTGGCGATTGCTTACATCATTCCTGCCGACTCCCAGGGTCTGCATTAGCAAGGAAGTGGGAGTCAGAAGCAGAGCTGGGTATCAAACCCAGGTGCTGCGACATGGGACACATGTGTCTTAGCCAGCATCTCAAGTACTAGGCTCAATACCCACCCTGAGGCCCCCTTTATCCCTTGGGCCCTTGTGTATGTGTACACATGTGCAACTGTACAGAGCAGTCCCGTCTGATCTGATCTCCCTGTGTCCCCGGGACGTGACAAAGGGCCCTGCACAGAGCAAGTGCTTGGTGAGGGGCTGCTGGATGGTCACAGCAGGACCAACCCCTGGGCATCTTCTCCTCCAAGTGCCTTGTCTGCAGAGGCAGAGGTTAAGACTGCAAGCCTTGCAAACGAGTGTGTTTCTCCCGACAGTACCTGGCTCCCGAAGTGCTTCGTAAGGAGCCTTATGATCGGGCCGTGGACTGGTGGTGCCTGGGGGCAGTCCTCTACGAGATGCTGCACGGCCTGGTGAGTGGGGCTCGGCTGCCAACAGGGCCTTGGGGTTCTGGGTGAGCTGTAGGTAGGGGTCTCCCCCTGTTGAAGCTCTGCTCAGGAGCTAAACCATCTATCTCGTCACTCCTCCCAAAAGATGACGTCAAAGCGAATACGAGAATTACATATTTCTTCCCAGCAATGTTAGTTCAGCACTTCACAGCTGGCATTGCAGAGAATGGAGGTTGTTCTTATTTTTCAGAGAGAAATGGAGGTCAGGAGAGGCCACAGTCCTGATAGAAACTACTCCTGAACGCAACCCCAGCTCTGTGCCCCCTGCGTGCAGCCTGGGGCCTGGCTCTCCTCCCAGCCTCTGAGCCTCATGAGAAACGACAGTCTCTCTCGATGGTTGTTACTGTAGTGGGAATGAGATGATGCAAGTTAAAGCGTAAGCTTAGCTGAGTGCAAAGTCGGCACACAAACTGGATTAGGAGAGATGGGATGGGGACCGAGGCGGGGAGGTCCACAAGCCTGGCCCTGGTGGGCAGAGCCCTCTCCAGGGTGCTGGGAGCCTGGCGATCCTGTCCTGTCCAGTCTGCCATGGGCGCCGCTGCCCAAGTCCCGGGGCCGGCTCAGTCCTCCCAGCTGTGCAGCTTGTTCCAAGACTCCCTGAGAGCTGTGCCGCTTTCACATGGGTGATCCTTCAGCTTCTCCTTGTCTCCCCAGCCGCCCTTCTACAGCCAAGACGTGTCCCAGATGTATGACAACATTCTGCACCAGCCGCTGCAGATCCCCGGGGGCCGGACCGTGGCTGCCTGCGACCTCCTGCAAGGCCTTCTCCACAAGGACCAGAGGCAGCGGCTGGGCTCCAAAGCAGACTTTGTAGGTGACCTGCCAGCTCACAGGGCACCGCTGCCAGGGGGCTCTCAGCTGCCTGCAGACACAGCTCAGAAGCACAGCAGCCTGCACCCTGCTGCCCTTGGAAACCAGGCCGCTCAGGCGTTCATTTGGAAACTCACTATCGCCGCTAGCTGGTGACTTTAGTTGTTTTAAAATTTGAGTTAATTTGTTTTCATTTTATTTCAAAGGCAGAGGGACAGACAGACAGGCAGGCTGCTATGCATTCCCCCAAATGCTCTGAACAGCAAGGGCTGGATCAGGTCAAAGCCAGGAGCCCAGAACTCCACCTGAGTGTCCTACATGGGTAACAGGGACCCAGGTACTTGATCCACTGTTAGCAGAATGCACATTAGCAGGAAGCTGGGTCAGCAGAGGAGACAGGACTCAAACCAGGCACTCTGACATGGGAGGCAGGCATCCCAAGCAGTGGCCTAATGGCTGTGCCAAATGCCTGCCCTTGACAACTTTGTTTCATTCTCTAACTCAACCACTATTGACCGAGCATCTACTGTGTGTTAGATATTGAGCTAGGTGCTAGGGAGACAACAAAAAGCAAGCATTATGTACAATTATCACAAGGTGTGACAAGTGTCAGGAAGGAAATAAATGACAAGAACTGAGGCAGCAATGGGAAGGGGGCAAATTCTCACCCTGAGATGGTTAGGGAGGTCCTCTCTAAGGAGGTGACAATTAAGCTGAGACTGGAAGGCTGAGAGGGAGCCAATCATGTAGACAGCTGGATGAAGACACAGCTCACAGCCCAGACATGGGCCACGGCATGTGCAGACATCCTTTGGTGGGAGAGAGGCGAGTGGTAAGCTGTAGTTTTTATTTTTTAAGATTTGTTTACTTATTTGAAAGGCAGAGTTAGAGAGAGAGAGAGAGAGAAAGGGAGAGACAGAGAGATCTTCCGTCCACTACTGGTTCATTGCTCAGAATGAAGCAATAGCTGGGGCTGGACCAGGCTGAAGCCAGGAGCCAAGAGGTTCTTCCAGGTCTCCCACGTAGGTGCAGGGGCCCAAGCTCTTGGGCCATCTTCTACTGCTTTCCCAGGCGCATTAACAGGGAGCTGGATCGGAAGTGGAGCTGCTGGGACTTGGAACCGATGCCCACATGGGACGCCAGCGCTAAAGGTGGCAGGGACCCAGCTACTTGAGCCCTCCCCTGCTGCCTCCCATGGCACACATCCGCAAGAAACTGGAATTGAGAGCAGAGCTAAGATTCAAACCCAGGCACTCTGGTATGGAATACAATTGTCCCAAGTTGCACCAAGTGCCTGTCCTAGGAGTTTGCTCCTGAGAACATATATGTGACTTTTAAAATGTTAGGCACTCACCTTGATCAAAAACTCAAAGGGCACAGAAGGGCATCGAGAGAAAGCCCCTCCAGGCGCTCAGTTCCTCAGTAGTGAGGCACTCCTGTTACTACTTTCATGAATTCCTGGAGGTATTTTAGATCTGGTTTTTAACCAGCCCGCAGTGGGGTGTGTGTGACAGACTCATTCTTTGAGAAGCACAGGTAGAGGGAGGGTCTCCCTGGGGTGAGAGGAAGTTGCTGCCAACATTGGTTTTGGTTAGAGAAGAAGTAGTGAGTTGGGGCCGGCATTGCAGCATGGCGAGTGAAGCCACAGCCTGTAGGCTGAAATCCCACTTGGGCGCTGGTTCATGCCTGGCTGCTCCACTTCCAATTTGGCTCCCTGCTAATGTGCCTGAGGAAGCAGCAGAGAATGGCCCAAGTGCTTGAGCCCTTGCCACTCACGTGGGAGACCGGGATGAAGCTCCTGGCTCCTGGTTTTGGTCTGGCCCAGCCTTGGCTGTTGCAGCCATTTGGGGAGTGAACCAATAGATGGACTCTCTCTCTCTCTGTCTTATCCTCTCTCACTGTAACTCTGCTTTTCCAATAAATAAATATATCTTTAAAAAAAAGAAGTAGTAAATCATGCCCAGGACTGAGTCCTGGGTCCTAGAATCTTCAGCTACTGGGGGGCTTGCTTTCTTAAACCTTCCTTAGGTGCAGGTCTGTTTTGCTGGTCTGCGTTCTGGAGGCTGACATAATGAGGCAGAGCTGGGGAGAGGTCCCCAAACTCTTCTGGGGCCCCTCGTCCCCTCCCAGACAGGCCCCGCTGTCTTGTCCACTGGCATAGCTCCAGGCCCAGTGCAGTGTCGGTGCTCAGCAAGTAGCTGTGGACGAAGTCAGCACCTGGGTGTGGGCGGGGAAGGGTTTGGCTTCCCGGGGGCAGCGCTCTTATCCCGGAAACCAGCCAGCACAACGCGTCACTTGCCAGTTGACAGTTTCTTGCGAGGAGCGTTGGGACTGGAGGATGTGGGGAGGGGTGGGAGTGCCTGTGGGAAGGGCCGTTGCTGATCAGTACCTTCTTCCAACAGCTCGAGATAAAGAACCATGTATTCTTCAGCCCCATAAACTGGGATGACTTGTACCACAAGAGGCTGACTCCACCCTTCAACCCCAACGTGGTAAGAGGTCACGGCCTTCCAGGCGCTGGATTCCCAGGGCTGGTGGGGGCCGACTCTAGAGAGATGGGGAGCATGGAGGGTCCCGGAGCTCCAGGATCTGCCCAAAGCCACAGGACCATTTCGGGGCAGAGCTGGCTCCCGCATGCACACGTTCCAACTACAGGCTGAGCCACGCTGCCACTCCCTTCTCTTTAGCACCGTACTGCTCCTGGCAGAGCCTTTTACAGTCTCTACAGTGCTCTGTGTCATGTAGCACGCCCAGGCAGAGCCAAGCCCACAGAAAGGTTTTAATCTTTTTCTATGGTTAGGGTTTTTCCTGATAATAAAAATGATACCGTTCCACTTGCTTGTGGAAAGTGTCTAAAACAGAAGTTCAAAGCAGCAGTGGAGAGACGCTTCTGATCTCACTGCCGCAGAGAAAACGCTGCTGGCAGGTTTCCTTCCAGCCTTTCTTCCTATGTGTTTTTTCAATTAGATCCCCTCCCTTCTTTAGCTAAGACAATGTCATTATTTCCCTGTTCATATAAAACTTTAGCATTTTAGTGGTTGTATAATATTTCTCCTTCTCTTTTTAAATTTGTATTTATTGATTTTAGTTGAAAGAGAGAGAGAGAGATCTCCAATCTGTGGTTCACTCCCCAAACGACCATGACAGCCAGAACTGGGCCAGGCTGAAGCCAGAGCCAGGAACTCAGTCCAGGTCCCTCACATGATTGGCAGGGACCCACCATTAAGGCCATCACCTTTGCCTCCCAGGAGGTGCTCCAGTTGGTATTAGGAATGAAGCCAGGCCTTGAACCCTCGCACTCCAGTATGGGATATGGGTGGCTCGTGCAGCACCTTAAGTACCATGCCAGATGCTCACCCTGTAATATTTCAGTCTTATGTTGGTCGCACAAATAGTGGTGTACTTTAGGCTGTTGCCGTTATTCTCCTCCATCATAACATGCTGGTGAACATCTTTCAGTACACATCTTTGCCCAGAGTTCTGATTGTTTCCTTAAGATGAATTCCAGATGAGAAATTACTGTGGCAAATTGAGTGGTTTTTGGTTCTTGATACCTATGTGCTGTCCACCGTGAATCAGGGAGAGCAGCCTGCTTCTCACCAGTAGCACCTGCTGACAAGTTCTCCTCTTGTTCACTGCTGCTGCATGTCCACTCATGGCTGTTTTTTTCTTTTTAATATTTTATTCATTTATATGAGAGAGAGAGTTACAGACAGAGAGAGGGAGAGAGAGAAAGGTCTTCCAACTGCTGGTTCACTTCCCAAATGGCCATAAGGGCCGGAGCTGGGCCATCTGAAGCCAGGAGCTTCTTCCAGGTCTCCCATATGGATGAAGGAGCCCAAGGACTTGGGCCATCTTCTACTGCTTTCCCAGGCCACAGCAGAGAGCTGGACTGGAAGAGGAGCAGCTGGGACTTGAACCGGTGTCCATATAGGATGTGAGTGCCACCAGTAGAGGCTTAGCCCACTGTGCCAAGCGCTGATCCCACCGTGACTCTTTCCTGTGTGGCAAACTCTATCAGTGGAAAATGGCACTGTGGGATTTATACTTCTGTGACTCACCCAGGAGATGGTCAGTTTGTACTTGTCAGTTAGCCACGGCAGTGTGAAGCAGGAGGGCCCCATGTGAGATCAGGTTATCTGAGCCACCTGTCAGATGCAGCATCAGGCTGCCTCCATCCACGCAGTGTGCACACCTTAGACACTGCCACTGGTAATGCATTGTGTACGTTTTCCCTCTGACGAAGCACCTGTTCAAGAATGTGTCTTTGAACGCCAGATTCTGGGTGACAGGTACCAGATAGGACTTAGTAAATCCAGACACCTGAAGAGTTTCTCGGGATTGTAAAGGGGTGGGAAGGCAATGTTGAGTGCACAGCCTGGAAGAGCACAATACTTGGGCTCTTAGGCAGCGATGCACTTTACAGTGGGGGTGGATTCCTGGTCGGACCACTTACCACTCGTGGGACTGGATAAGTTTCTTTGGCATTGATTTCTTCATTTATAAAAATCCTAGAAGATACCTGCTTGTCTAGGACCACATAGATAGAAGAGCCAGAGCCAAGGCCAGGATTCCCACTTGGTCTTGGAACTCTGAGCCTGGGGCTGGGTCCTGTGCCCTATGTCCCAGCTGCTCTGCTTCTGACCCAGCTCCCTGTGAATGCACTAGGGAAGGCAGCAGCTGATGGCCCAAGTATGTGGGAGGCACAGATGAAATTCCAGGCTTCTGGCTTTTGGCCTGGACTAGCCCGACTGTTGCGGCCATTTGGGGAGTGAACCAGTGGATGGACAATCTCTCTCTCTCTCTCTCCCCCTCTCTCCCATTGCCTTCAGTTATTTATTGATTTATTTGAAAGGCAGAGAGACAAGTAGTTCTGCTCAAGTACTTGGTTCAAGCCCAAGTACTTGGGCTGTCACTTGCTGCCGCCCAGGGTGCGCATGAAAAGGAAGCTGGAATTGGAAGCAGTGGGATGTGCGTCTCCCTGCGCCAAACACGCACTCCCCATGAGTTTCTGAGAAGCTGGAAACCACGGCTGTTGGATGCCACAGCCTGCGATGTGCGTGCTAAGGCAGATCTACGGCTCCCTGCTCCCCTCATTTTTTTTTTTTTTTTTTTGGACAGGCAGAGTGGACAGTGAGAGAGAGAGACAGAGAGAAAGGTCTTCCTTTGCCGTTGGTTCACCCTCCAATGGCTGCCATGGCTGGCGCGCTGCGGCTGGCGCACCGTGCTGATCCGAAGCAAGGAGCCAGGTGCTTCTCCTGGTCTCCCATGCGGGTGCAGGGCCCAAGCACTTGGGCCATCCTCCACTGCACTCCCGGGCCATAGCAGAGAGCTGGCCTGGAAGAGGGGCAACCGGGACAGAATCTGGCGCCCCGACCGGGACTAGAACCCAGTGTGCCGGCGCTGCTAGGTGGAGGATTAGCCTGTTGAGCCGCGGCGCTGGCCCCTGCTCCCCTCCTTGATCATGGAACCCAGGGGGCAGAAGCTTCTGCACAGATGGGGCCTTCCCCACCAAGAGGCACCCTAACAAGCAGCCCCAAAGCCATGGGCTGACAACAGCAGTCTCTGGTGGGCAGGGTTTTTGGTGTGGGCCAGGCCACCTGGGCTCTAAGGAGTCCTGTGTCTTTGGTCACCAGCAGTTGATGACTGTGAATCACCTCATTTTCGTGACTGGGGGTCGCCAGGCTGGCAGGGTGACTGGGGTCCCCTTCATGATGGGGCTCGTACACATGGTGGCCTCAGGATTCCAAGTGCAGGGAGACAACAGCTGTCCATGGGCAGTTCCCAAGCCTCTGCTGGCCATACTTGGGAATGTCTCATCAGCCTAAGCAGGTCACCCATGAGGAACAGACCCCAACCCCTCTCCCTGGGTGGGAAATGAAAGATTTGCGATAATTTTTAATGCAATTTCCCAGAATAGCCCAAAAAGCTCCAGGTTCTCTCTGCCACATTTCCCTATTTTACCTTCTTTTTAAATTTTATTTTTTTAAAAAGATTTTATTTACTTATTTGAGCAGAAGAGTTAGAAAGGGAGGGAGAGACAGAGTGAGAAGTCTTCCATCTGCTGGTTCACTCCCCAAATGGCCACAACAGCTCTGGGCTGATCCGAAGCCAGGAGCTTCTTCTGGGTCTCCCTCACAGGTGCAGGGGCCCAAGGACTTGGACCATCTCCTACTGCTTTCCCAGGCCATAGTAGAGAGCTGGATTGGACGTGGAACAGCTGGGACATGAACTGAACTGGTGCTTGTATGGGATGCTGGCGCCATAGCGCTGGCCCTGCCCTGTTCTACCTTCTCCACAAGGCTTCCACGCCCCCAGCTCTCTGCCTTTGTGCTTATCAGCTCCCCTTCCCCAGCAGCACGTGAGCATCTCAGAAGCAGGGCTCCCTCTGTTTTGTTCTGTGAACAGGACCTGGCAGACATTCAGGGAGCACCTGTGGACTGACTTGTCCAGGGGTTGGTGTGCAGCAGGCAGAGTGCCACAGGATTAGAGGAGGTGGCCAGGGGAGTAAGGAGATGCCTGTAAATGCATGGGAGAAGGCCTGGTGTGTGGCTGACCCGGAGCCACTGTGGAAGCTGGGGCTTCACTGTTAGTTTGTGTTGGGAGGTGAAGTACATCACTCATCCCCCTGCTTCTGCCCTGTCTGCAGACGATGGGGAGTTAAGGTGGGCTTCGAGGATGGCCAACGGTGCAGCGGGTTAGGTCTCCACCAGGGATGCCCACATCCATGTCCAGTTCCACCTCTGCTTCTGAGCCAGTTTCCTGTTAACACACACCCTGGGAGGCAGCAGGTGATGCTTTAAGGACTTGGGTTCCTGCCACCCACACGGGGGACCCAGATGGAGTCCCTGACTCCTTTTGGCTTTGGCCTGGCTTTGGCCTGGCTTCGCCCCAGCTGTTGCAGGTATTTGGGGAATGAACTAGCAGATGGTTCTCTCCCTCTCTCCTCCTGCCTCTCAAACAAATAAAAATGAACTTCTTTAAAAAGAGAGGAGAAAAAAAAAAAAAAAAGAAGAAGAAGAATGGAAGCCAGACATCACACTCTGGGCCCTGGGCTCCTTTGGCAGCTCTGACCCTGGAGTTCCCTTTTCAACCCCGGTTTATATTGACAGGCAGGACCTGCTGACCTGAAACACTTTGACCCAGAGTTCACCCAGGAAGCCGTGTCCAAGTCCATCGGCTGCACCCCTGACAGTGTAGCCAGCAGCTCCGGGACCTCAAGTGCATTCCTGGGATTTTCCTACGCGCCAGAGGACGATGACATCTTGGACTCCTAAAGAGATGCTCCTGTGAAACCGCGGAGGCCAGCTGGAACCAGCAAGGAATGGCTCAGAGAAGCAGCGGCTTCCAGGAGACACAGGCTTATGTAGAATAGCGTCAGGCGGCCCAGGGCTGGTGAGAGGTCATCGAGTGCTCAGAGGTTTTCCGTATTTCTACCCTGCCCGCCTGGGCAAACGGCTTCCTGTTTTAGGGTTGCTACACTACCACTCGAAGGTTCCTGGGGCTCCAGCTTCCAGTTTCGTGTTCTGGGTGGGAAAAGGAAGAAAGGTGGGGGGAGGAGGGGAAGCAAAAAGGCGCCCTGAAAGCCCTTCCCAGAAGCCTTCCCTCCCCCAGTGACTTCTGTGGACATTCCTTAGGTACCCAGTCCTACTGGGCTGGAGGCTGGCGATGTGGCTTACTAGCTGGACACATGGCTCTGCCTAGTACCAAGGGGGCTCTGAAATTGCGAGAGGAGGGAGAGTTGGGTAGGCAACCAGCACTCTCCACCAGTGTTCTGGGTTTGACCTCAACGCCTAAAATGATGGAGATGGGACGGACCTAGAGGGGGTTACCTGACAGCTTGTACTGCTCCGTGTTGCTGGTGTCTTTCCTGTGGGTAGTACTGGGATTTGTTGTTGGGTTTGGCCGCCTGGCATCTGAATCCTTTCCTAAATTCAGGGAGTCCCTGACCTCATGACCCTTGATGAGGGGCAGTAACTACCTCCACTTCAAACAGCCGAGAAGCTGGAGACTGACCTTCGCAGCCTCCATGAGCCAGGGCCAGGCTCGGGGCCCAGGGATGCACCTGTGCGGAGCGTGGACTCAAAGGACGGACGGGGAAGCTCTTCCCTGTGGTAGCTGTGGTGACAGCACCCACAAAACCGAGTTCCTGGCATGGACGTGACAACAGGGGCAGCACCAGCAGTGGTTTCCTCCACCCACCAGAGCCGCAGCGTCATTGCTCAAAGCCTCCAGCCTCATTCTCAGGCTTTCCCTGTGATTTTTTTGAGCACTTCTGATCTCTTTAACACACTCCTTTTCTTGCTTGATCGACCAAGGTCGGCTTCCGAGCACCTGCCTGTCCTGCACCAGTGTCTGGGCTAGCTTCTTTCATGTCTGTTACCAGATTTCATGTAAACAATCTTAAGGTAGAAATTATTCTTTTTTTTTTTTTTTAACCAATGGAGAAATAATCAGAAAAGTTACTCCTTGCCTGTGGTTACAGAGCTGGTAAGGACACAGCTGGGACTGGGAGCCATGCAAGCCGGCTCCAGGGCTGTCCCTTTTCGTGTTCCTCCTCACACGGGGAGCCCAGGCCTCGCACAGAGCTGGAGGCTGCTGCAGACTTGGTGATGACAGCTTCCCGGCCACCCATGAAGCTCCGTGTTCAAAGTGCGACGGCCAGGACAGACGTGAGCATGCCACACCTCACGCGGCCGGGACGCCCTGCACCGGTGGAGAGCTCTGTGCCTTGCCGCAGCGGCACAGCTCCGTTCTCACAACGCAGCGGCTCTCACGTCCAGCGGACTTGCTAGCTCCTTGGTCTGGGGAGAAGAGGAGAGACTTCCTCGGGGTCAGTGCCCTGGTGGTTCTATCGCTTTTCCTCTTCTCTCAGTCCCACTCTTTCCCTTCTGCTTTTGTCTACCGAGTCCCCTGCCCCAGGAATGACGTGACGAGGCTGGGAGATCACACGGGAGTCATCAGTGACGCCGGCCTACGGGCGGTCAGGATGGGGTCAGGACGACTGAATGTTAAGCTCTGATGTGACCTCCTGATTTCCCTCCTAACGCTGCCTGTTAACTGCCAGCCGTGGATGATGGTGAAGGGGACATCAAGATCCCAGCTTCCCCAAGCAAAAACTCTTAGAGTGGAACTGTCAGGAATGTGACAGTACTGTCAAAAGCACACCGTTGGCCGTGGTTGTGAAACACCTAACGATTCTACCTGTTCTAAAGACTGTAAAAATCACATTGCCAGGACAGAAAATAAAACGAAGGAAAACAACGCTATATTATGGGTCATGCCACGACTGCGTTCGTTGAGCACGTCCCAAATTTTATATGCATCACCTACAATTCTCACCCTAAGTCAGCGCTTAGAAAGAAATCATTAACTCCACTCCACAGAGGTTGGGCAGTTTGCCCAAGGTCACTCGGCTGCTACAAGGCATAGCTAGGAACTGAACTAAAGCCTTCGCTCTCTCCGGAAGCTCCCACACGGGGAGCAGCGCTCTGGGCAGGTGCCCTCCCGGCCTCGCAGCAAACGCTGACCGCAGAGCAGGCGGCAGGAGCCCCAGGCCAGGCCGAACCCACCACTGCCAAGTCGCTTCCATTTTTCTCTCTGAAGACGGCATTTCACCCAAATACGCACCAGCGTACAGCATCCCCAAGACAAGCACTCCCGCCCCTTTTAAATGCTCGGCGACAGCAGCTGTGGAAAAGCAACACCACCTGGGTGTGTTCTCACACCCTCAACGCCGCCTGCTCTGCACAAGCTCAAGACAGAAACGTCAATCAACCCGTCGGGCTGAGCCTCGGAGGGGGCCTCACAGCGATCGCGGGGCACCCTGCGCGGGCCGACTCTCTCCGACAGCCGCCTGTGCCGTCCTTAGTCCCTGCTCCACCGAGGGCGCTTCTGCCGGCTCAGGCCCCTCACGACGCCCTGAAACAGCTCTTACTTCCACATCTGGGGGGACCTGGCCAGGGTCTAACTCCCAGCCTGAGGACGCCCAGAGGCAGGGGGGCGGGGGGGGGTCACTGGGGCGTTCCAAGATGCGGGGTTCCCGAGCGAGAAAGCAATCTCCCGGCACTTGTCCACCCTCTCCCGGGAAGCCGCCTCTGGCCTCCCGGCGCCCTGGCGTCACGCATCACGCCTTAGGCCGCCAGGTAGCCGATCCCACAAGCCCGCAACCTAACCGCTAGCAACAGTCCCCACGCGACCAGCGTCGCGACCGGAAAGCTCCGCCCAGGCCCCGCCCCCTCCCGCCCTCACCGCTGTGCGCCTGCGCGCTGAGGGTCCCGGAGGGTCCATTCGCCAGTCCCCGTCTCAAACTTTCGGTACCCTCTTCCCTCGGAGTGGATTACAGTTGGGGCCCTTGGACCCTAACATTTTTATAGGCTTGTAATAATAATTATTATAAGGAACAAAGTGTAAGGGGCTTACTTTTTACACAAAGTTAATTTCCATTGTGTTTGGATGTACCCCTCGTCGAAAGTAATGGTACAGTCCCGCGTTAGCTCCGCCTCTTCGCACTACCACGTACGGGCGTCTTCCGCTCTGTCGTCATCACGTCGCCCCGGAGGTAGCGGCACGTCGGGCTCCACGCCTTCCCAAGCGCACCCGGGCGCCCGCGTTGTTGCTAAGCGACTTTGAACACCTGGCGGCGGGATGCAGGGCCGCGGCAGGTGAAGATGGTGGTCACTGGGCCGCAGGTGAGGGGGATTCCGACCGCGGAGCGCTGGCCGAGGCGTCGGGGCGACTCCGCGGGGGCAGCAGCGCAGACGCAGGCCGGGACCCTGGGTCGCCATCGCCTCGGGCTGCGAGCCGGCGTCAGGTCCTAGGTCCCGTCAGTGCAGCTGCTTGGCCTTGTCACCGCTCTCTGGGAAAAATCACTGGTTTTTAATGAGACAACGAGCGAGTGGGTGGTTCTTTTAAGTCCCTTCCTGTCCAAGCAAGCCCAGTTCGGGGTAGCCCTGCCGGGCCGCGCCGCGGACAGCTGCTGTCCTCTGTCGCGTCTGCTCCGTGGCGTCCGTCGCAGCGCAGCCCTGAGCCGCCACGGCCTGCTCGCGGGAGCCTGTTCTTGCTCAGAAGCAGAAATGAATAAATTCCAGTGCTGTCTGTGATGGCAGAAATGGAACAGATGCCAGGAAGCCGGTGGCCGAGTTCGTTATGCCTGACTGCAACTGATCATGCAGCCACCAGCCTTCCTCGGGAAGCGGGAGAGAGCGCAGTACAGAACTCACAGGCAGACCCAGTGGGAAAACGCGCGTGCCCGGTTGGAGTGGGACACTCCATGGCCGTGTCGCAGTAGTGGGGGCTGGGAGGGGGTGTTTTTCACCTGGACAAAGTGATTTTAAAATTGCACTGAAGAATACATGCGGGTCCGGCGCTGTGGCATAGCTGGTAAAGCCGCTGCCTGCAATGCCAGCATCCCATATGGGCGCCTGTTCCAGTCCCGGCTGCTCCCTTCTGATGCGCCTGGGAAAGCAGTGGAAGATGCCCCAAGTGCTTGGGCCGCTGCTCCTGCCTGCAAAACCCGCATGGGATTCTGGGTGCGGCCATTTGGGGAGTGAACCAGCAGATGGACGATCCCTGCCTCTCTGCCTGGTCCTCCCCCCATAACTCTGCCTTTCAAATAAAATAAATATTTTTAGAAAAATACCTGGAAGGAAGCAACTTCTCAAATGTTGCTTTTTTTAAGATTTATTTATTTATTTGAAAGTCAAAGTTACACAGAGAGAGAAGGAAAGGCAGAGAGAGAGGTCTTCCATCCGCTGGTTCACTCCCCAGATGGCCGCAATGGCCGGAGCTGCGCCGATCTGAAACCAAGAGCCAGAAGCTTCCTCCAGGTCTCCCAAGACTTGGGCCATCTTCTGCTTTCCCAGGTCACAGCAGAGAGCTGGATTGGAAGTGGAGTAACCGGCGCCCATTTGGGATGCTGACACTGCAGGTGGCGGCTTAACCTGCTACGCCACAGCACCAGCCCCTCAAAAGTTGACTTAAAAAAATGTGTGCGACTAACCAGGAAAATTCTTTTTTTATTTGACAGGCAGAGTTAGACAGTGAGAGAGAGACACACAGAGAGAAAGGTCTTCCTTCCGCTGGTTTACCCCTAAACGGCCGCCACAGCCGGCGCGCTGTGCCGATCCGAAGCCAGGAGCCAGGTGCTTCCTCTAACCAGGAAAATTCTAAAAACTAAAGGTATTTGAGGGCCGGCGCTGTGGCGTAGCAGGTAGGGCCACCACCTGCAGTGCCAGCATCCCATGTGGGCTGCTCCACTTCCGATCCAGCTCTCTGCTATGGCCTGGGAAAGCAGTAGAGGATGCTGCACCTGTGTGGGAGACCCGGAACAGGCTCCTGGCTCCTGATCAGCTCATCTCCGGCTGTTAAGGCCAATTGGGGAGTGAACCAGCGGTTGGAAGACCTCTCTCTCTCCCTCTGCCTCTGCCTCCCCCTCTCATCCCCCCCCCCCTTCTCCCTCTGTGTAACTCTTTCAAATAAATAAATCTTAAAAAAAAAAAAAAGACTAAAATTAATGGAGGGGGAGATTAACTCTGGCAGGACCAGATATTATCACATAAACGCACACAAATTAAATTAGTGTGGGATGGAGCTGAAACTTGCAGGCAGATAGAATATAACAGAATCAGAATAAGACCCAGATGCCTACATAGGGATTTTTTTTTTTTTTTGACAGGCAGAGTGGACAGTGAGAGAGAGAGAGAGACAGAGAGAAAGGTCTTCCTTTTTGCCGTTGGTTCACCCTCCAATGGCCGCCGCGGCTGGCGCGCTGCGGCCGGCGCACCGCGCTGATCCGATGGCAGGAGCCAGGAGCCAGGTGCTTCTCCTGGTCTCCCATGGGGTGCAGGGCCCAAGCACCTGGGCCATCCTCCACTGCACTCCCTGGCCATAGCAGAGAGCTGGCCTGGAAGAGGGGCAACCGGGACAGAATCCGGCGCCCCGACCGGGACTAGAACCCAGTGTGCCGGCGCCGCTAGGCGGAGGATTAGCCTAGTGAGCCGCGGCGCCGGCCTACATAGGGATTTATTATATAGTCAAGGTGGTGTTTCAAATCAAGACTGAAAAAACAGAAAATCAATAATGAGGCTCATTATGAGTAGCAACACCATTCCAAATGGACCAAAATTTAAATGTTAAAAGATGATGTCATGAAAGTACTGGAAGAAAGCATTGTTGGGTGTATTCACGATCCTGGAATGACAAGAACTCGTAAATGTGTCATACAATCCAGAAGCTTTTTGACTGCATAAAATTTAAGATTTATATAACCTGCAGAATTAAAACAAATCCCAAAAGAGCTACTAAGAGCAAAGTCTACAGGGGCTGGCACTGCGATGTACTGGGTAGAGCTGCTGCCTGCAGTGCCGACATCTCACATGGGCTCTGGTTTGAGTCCCGGCTGCTCCACTCCCGATCCAGCTCTCTGCTATGGCCTGGGAAAGCAGTAGAAGATGGCCCAAGTCCTTGAGCCCCTGCACCCACGTGGGAGACCCAAAAGAAGTT